ACCAACTGTGAGCGATTGAGTGTGATTGATTTTCGAATGTAAAAAAAAAAGAAATATGCCACAAACATTTCAAAACGACTTGCTGTTAGCCATTTAAAAATTCATAGCAACATGAACCCAAAGATAGATAAAACCAATAAAAATACAACGAGCCATAAGAAAACCAAATGCAGCAGTTAAAGGCAGAAAGGCGGGGATATGTTATATGAACTTCAATCTATTCGAAATTTACTTAAGGCAAAAAAAAAAAATACAATACTACAAATCTACTAAATTTTGAAATCTGGCAAAAAAAATCGTAAAAAACAAGAGACAACAAACCCTTATCCTTCCCCTGGCTTGGCTTGACTTTGAAAGGAATAAAACAACAGATTTTTTTTTTGGTTGGTTGGTTTGTAATGAACATTTCTGGTTTATTCGCAAACATTTTTATCTCAAAATAATTAAAAAAAAATTAATACAACACAAAAGACAAACAAAAAAAATGATAGGAAATTCTGGTAAAAGACAAAAAATGCAGGAATTTTTCCATGAATTAATGTTTGATTTTTTAATGAATACATTTTTTTTATGGGGGGAGCAACAAAAGATGACAATTGAAGTTGTTACAAATTATTTTTGTTGTTCTTTTTTTAATAATAATACATACATACATATTGTTTTGGTTACTATTATTGTAAATTGTTGATAAGATATTTAAATACTTTTTTTTTCTTCCTGTTGCCAAAGAAAATCCAAAATTTAATTTGTTTTCAAAGAATACAAGAAAAAAACAAACAAAAGCCATGAAATACAAAGCATTACATTTTTTTAGAAATTTAAATGCTAAAATCTAATTTAAAATCAAAACTGAAAATCATTGTTTTTTTCAACTTAACTAATTAGAAGAACCCTTAACAGCTGCATCAATACTCATCGTTTCTATTTTTGGTGTTTTATCTATCTTTCGTTCGTTTCGTTTCGTTTTTTTTACTTCGAATCTTTGCAACATAATTTAAAATTGTGTTTTTTTAGTTTTCTTGTTCGAAACTGGCTTAGAGAGCAATCTCACAATGGCATTTTCTTTTCTTTTCTGAAATCGAATTTGTTTTTTATTTCATATCTAATTTATTTTGTAAGTCTTTTGGTAACTGAAATGCATAAAAAAGAGAAAAGAGAGAAAAAGATTTTGGTTTAAAAGGAATTGTCATATTCATTTCAATATTCAATAGGCAAAGAAATAATTCAATACTGACAGCAAAAGGACGACAACAAACACAGAAGGGTATTAAATTCAAATACGAAAAATTGGAAAACACTACTTTTTAACCGAAATCTAAAATTTTTGATAAGGTTTTTGATTTTTAGAAAGGAGAGGAAATAGTTCTAGGATAAACGAAAAATATCAGTGGCGATTTTGGACAAAATGGAAACTAAAACAAAATTTGATACAGAATTCAAATGGCTGATTTTTTTCTCTCAAAGGGAAGTTCGAAGATATAAATTAAGCCCTGAAGCAAGGCCCAAAATCGTGCAACAAATCGAAAATAACAGGATATTTCATACATTCAGAGTACTGATTGTACATTCGTAGTATTTTTTAGAGCCGAACGCGACCACCTTAAAAAAAGTCGCATTGTCGACTTTTATCCCATACCGAATTGGGAAATGGAAAGAAAATGCGCCACTACAAACATTGACTTCTTATCGGACTTAATCTCAGGGTATGGAGAAATCCTTCCACTGAACCATACCCTGAGATTAAGTCCGATAAAAAGTCAGTGTTTGTAGTGGCGCATTTTCTTTCCATTTCCCAATTCGGGATGGGATAAAAGTCGACAATGCTACTTTTTTTAAGGTAGTCGTGTAGAAGCTCGCCTAAAAAAAAGTGTACGGAACAAAGCGATGAGACCGCTAAGACTGACACCAGTATCCTAAGTGATATATCTCATTGTTTTAGGCTGTGCAATGTCGAGCTGTCTACGAATTAAGAAGACAAATGGATAAGGTTCTTAGGGTTCAGAAACGTTGATATTTTCTCTGTGTGATAGCTTTACGACAAGGAAATCGAGGTTTGCGGAGAACATGTGTCGGTTTTCAGAGACTTGGACTTCACTTCTACTTGTCAAAGAAAATTCGAGGAGATTCGAACAGGGCAATAGACATAATACAATGCCATACAGTGTAGGTGAAAAAAAAATAGAAAAACTAGTCGATAAAGAGACGCTTGAATTACAGCTTTAAGAGAAAGATATCGAGGTTTGTGAAGAACATTTTTTTGTATTCAGAGACCTGAACCTCTCTTCTACTTTTCAAAGAAAATTCGAGGAGATTCGAACAGGCAAAGATATCGGAATTTGCGAGAACATTTTTTCGGGAGACTTGGACATCTCACCTACTTGTTGAGGAAAATTTGAATAGATTCGAACAAGACAATTGAGTTAATACACGGGAGCGTCAAAGCCATACAAAGTGGGTCTTAAAACAGGTTGATAAACAGACGATTGAATAACTGCTTTACAACAGAGACTCAGATATTTCCTCCGCTTGTTAAAGACAATTATATGAGGGTGTTAACGCCATATACTGAGTTTCTAAACACCAGGTCGACATAGCGTCGCGTGACAGCTTTGAGACAAAGAAAACGGATTCGGAGACTCAGATATCTCTTGTACTTGCAGAAAAAACGGTCTAACCGGCGGGCTTGGATGAGTTAGAAGCTAATGACAATATCTTCTGAATTAAAAGAAAAATGTTGACATAGCTGGAACAAAGTTTAAAATCATACCTCAAATTAAAAGAGCCATTTTTAGCTCCTGTGTTGAACAGAAAAAATTACCGCGTGTGTTCCTTATGTTGCCTCATCGGAAAAGGCCATACCTAGAAACTCCATTCCTTTATCGTTTAATTTTATTGAGGGTAGAGGTAGCCTCAAAGGGAGATCAAATGTCAAATATATCGTTCGTATACTTGCCAATTTTAGAGTAGTACTTAACTTTCAATTATGGGAAGTCGTTAGAGATCAGTTACATACACCTTGCGAGACGGCTTCGCGACAAAGAAAACGAGGAGGGAGTAGAATATTGTTTTGGTTTTGAGACTCAGATATCTCTTGCAGAAGAAGCGGCGTAGCCACCGGGCTTTGATGAGTTAGAAACCGTGTGCGTGCCTAGTTGTAGTGTTCTTTATGTTGCCTAATCGGACAAGGCCATTTCTGACCCTACCTAGAAAATCCTACATGTAGAGCCTATTCCTTCATCATTTGACTTTGTTGAGGAAGCCTAAAAGAGTCAAATATCACGTATATCATTGGTATACTTGTCGATTTTACTAAACTGTCTCTTATGTGGAGTCATTAGAGATCAGCTACATACACCTTGCGAAACGAAGAAGGGGGAGAATATTTTTTTTTTGGTTCGTAGACTCAGATATCTCTTGCAGAAGAAGCGGCCCAGCCAACGAGATGAGTTAGAATCTTTTGACAATATCTGCTGAATTAAAAGAAAAAAGTCAGGAAGAAAGTTTAAAACTATTCCTCAAATTAATAAGGAGCCCGATGAGTCTATTTTTAGCTTCTATATTACCTAGGAAAATTGCCGTGTGCGTTATACCTCGAAAAGGTTATACCTCGAAAGACATACATGTAGCACCCATTTCTTCATCCTCTGACTTATGAGGGTATTTGGGGGTATTTAATTGTTTTATTTTAAAGTGGTATTGAAATATCTCTTATGGGGAGTCGTTAGAGATCAGCTGCAGAAAGCATAAACTTTGGCCCGATTTCTTTAGAGAAAGAATGGGGTCTAGTGCTTCGATGAGGCAGGAATTGCCTTTGTGGAGCATTTATTGGAATTCTTATGACGATGTTCTATCACGAGACTTAACGACATCCCTTAAGATTTCCCCAAATGCCTCCAGCCTTAGTAGCAAGTTTTGCCTAGCTGGTTATAGTCAGGTCTGGTCAGCATGTGCTCAGCTCGTTGGAAACGATTCCTCATACATCTAATTCATCTCGACAACGAAATTAGTTCACATGTCCATAATTTACTAATATATGGCTTCGGTGCCTACCAAAAGCTTTAAGTGTTCTCATCCACTCACATTCAACTTGCTTGTTTGTATGTCACGTCTCGTATGAACCTCCCTCCTGCAATTGTCTTCTTATCTCCTAGATAGCTATACTTTCTAAGGTCCTACAATAAACAAGAAATATCGCAATGTGCTGAGCTAAATCTTCCTTAGAATATTTTTTAAATGGTTCCTCAGATGCCTTATTCTCTTCCGCATCATTATTTAATTATGAATTTAAAATTTGGCCTTAATTGACTTCAGCACACAGCATCTACATCCGAGCCCGCCATTCATTTTGCTCACCATTCATCTATAATCAGTGCCCTGAATTCGGCTCGTCACATTATGGTAAGTGATCATAATGTGACGAGCCCAGCCTTTCACAATTCACCAGCAAAATTTTGGGCAAACGTCCTAGCTGATCTATCCCTGTCGTCTATGTTACTAACATTCAAATACTAATCATTCGGTTCATTCGACTCGTCAACTCTCATTCGCTGGGCAAATCTCACCATCTATGGACCAGATGAATGCCTAGATATATTGGAGAACCACAACGAGGAGAATACAGTTACAACCCTGCAGCAATATGAGCCAAAACTTTAAACGTCGAAATCAATGAAAAACTAATTTCATTTTTTTAGCGGGTCTCCCTACAGTATCCCCAATTTGTGAGTTCAAAAGCTGATATACTTCTTTCCTAATTCCCAAAGAGTCATTAAAGATATACAGGTCCAAGAGCTCACTCAACTTTTATCCATCGTGAATAAATCTTGCATGTGGAAAAATTGGGGTCAAAAATCCGTTCAGTTACTAAACAATTCGGAATGATTATTTAAATAATGAAAAAGGACATGATGTACTTGGTCAGGGGGTTGATTATTCAAATAACAGTTGGCCATTCCTAGGTGTAGAATAGTTAAACAAAATATCATATATTCAAGGCTTACCATCACTATTTTCATTTAGCAAGGGATCAAAGGCCTCCAATACACTGACCCGTGAACTGCAAGGAGAAACAATAGGAGATTAATTTAGCAGCATAAAAAAATGTGCAACACATTCCAAAAAAACATACTCATCTTCATGGGAGAGATCGATTAAATCGGAGCCCGGCACACGTGTTGACATTTTACGGGCTGGTGGTGTTTGACGCCGTGCATTAAAGCCATTGGATTGAGCTGAGGAAGCGGTGGAGCCAGCAGAAATGGAAGATGCCGCTGCCGACCCCATCGATTGATTTAAATTCCCACTGGCCGAGGAATGTATTGGATTAAAGCTATTGGTGTTGGTGCTGGAGTTGGCATTGGGATTGGGATTTTGTGGAAATGCCTGGCCTGAATGACTCAAATGATTCACATTTACACCTCCACTGGCCATTGGGGAGTTGAAGGAAGATGCTGCTGCCGCCGCGGCTGTTGTGGCAGCATAATAAGGCTGCCCAGGTGGCATGGCTTGAAATTGAAAACCATATGCATTGCTGGCATAATGTAGGGGAGCTGTATATGGTGCTCCACCAGCACCAGCCACCATCATGTGTGGTGGGGGTGGTGGTGTGGCATAATATCCTGCTGCTGCTGCTGCTGGTTGTATAAAACCCATTGCTGGTGGCCTTGGCCCGTAGACGGGAGCAGTGTGTGGTGTCATGCTGTATAATTTTTTCAGCTCATCATTGGTTAGGGGTACCCTTTGTTGTTGGGCTGTGGGTACAAATGGTACCAACTGCATGCCTCCAGCGGCAGCAGCAGCACCACCACCAACTGCTGAATTGTATTGAACAGCTTGGGCCGCAGCAGATGGATACATGTTATGCCCCCCTGCTGCCGGATATGCTGTTGGAGGTTGTGAGGCCGATGATGGATATATGGGTGCTGCTGCTGTTGGGCCCAATGGCACCAGGGCCGTTTGAGGATTTGTGGTCTGCAGTTTTTGTAAATCTTCAATTAATTTCTCAAATGAAGAGCTTTCGGGATTCTTTGAGGTAGGACTAGCAAAGTTGATTAAATCATTTTCCATGGCCGATGATGATGACGATGATGAGGTGGGCGGTGGGGTTTTGGAACGTTCTGATGTTGATGCTATGGAGGTGTTGTAATTGTTGACTTCGGAATGGCGACGTTGCGATTGTTGCAGCTTGGGCAGCGACAAGGCATGTTGCGGTGTGGTGTTGGCGTTGGCGTTGTTTTCCCCCGACGATGATGTCCTGGCATACTGCTGCCGCCTCAATTGGGCATATAACTTATTTTTGGCCTCCTGCTGCGAGGATTGGGCATAGGCACTGCCATACTTCTTGGCACGATTGTATTCATCGAGGGCCTCTTGTTCCAAGCTAAGGGCGGTGGCCTTGGCTAAATCCTCTTGGAATTGTTTTTCATAATCCACCTCCGTTGGATTGGACATTTTTGTGGTGCTACGCTGAACAAAGATTCCAGTTTAAGTTTGGCCAAGGGTAAGGTGTTCTTGGAGAAAATAACTAAAAGAAAAAATTAAAAAAAAAAATTGTTTTATTTTTTTGTTCTTTCACTTTTGCTTGTTTATCGGGCAATGAAAGTGTATCAAAACAAATTGTTTGGCTTTGTTCCCCCCCGGGCAAACTTTATCTCTGGTAAAATACAATTTTAATCACCCTTTTTTTTGCCCAACCGGCAGATACTAGATAGATTGGTTTGTTTTCTGATTTGATATGATATGCCAGAAATTTTTTTGATAAGTATTTATTATTATTTTTCTTTTGTTTTTGCTTTAGTTTCTTTTAAAAGATAAGAGTTCCGACCAAGAATGCAGTCGTAAATAAATTTTTAAATGAAATACATTTTTTAAAAATACAAAACCAAATTTCTATATTTACGTAAATATATATTTCATGGTTAATATTTTGAAAATAAAACAGCCTAGTGCCGCTATGTCTGACATTTACGTTTCTTTCGTGAATGGAACAATTTGTTTACAAAGAGTTTGTTTATAAACAAAACGCATGTCGAAAGCCATTGGGAAACACATTGTATGATATTTGTAGTTTCGGAAAACAATAAAGTGTGTTTACATTAAAACAAAACACTACGACATAAACATGGAAACAAAAATTAGGTACTAAAAATAAGTTAAAATCGAGGGGCCGGCTTTATTTTACCCCCCAGCACGAGAAAAAATAATTTTTACAAAAATCAATGAAGATGCTTAAAACAGAAATTCAGCAACTTTTTGCAAACTATTATACTAGTATAACAGTTTTCCGAAACTGTTATACAGGCCTAAAAAGCCTTAAATTACTCTCAGCAGGGGTTTTGATACAATATTTTCTGCATATTTTCACGATTTAATGGCAACTTATATTGATTTATATAATTATACTGTTATACAGATATTATTCTTCCCCAGAGCATGAGATAAAAATGAGTAAATTTCCAAATTCATTCAAAAAATGAATGAAAATGCTTAAAAACAGAAATACAGCAACATTTTGCAAACTGTTATACCAGTATAACAGTTTTCCGAAACTGTTATACAGGCCCAAAAAGTCTTAAATTACTCCGACTAGATGTTTTTATACAATATCTTCTTTATATATTCCCGATTTAATGGCAATTGATATCGATTTGAACAAGTACACTGTTATACAGAGATTGTTCAAGACGAGAGCATGAGATAAAAATGAGTAATTTTCAAAATTCTTTCAAAAAATGAATAAATATAATTTGAAACGGAAATTTGGCAGTTTTTCCAAACTGTTATACTATTATAACAGTTTTCCAAAACTGTTATACAGGCCTAAAAAATCTTAAATTACTCTCAGCAGGGGTTTTTATACAATATCTTCTGCATATTTCCCCTATTTAATGGCAATTGCTATCGATTTGAACTATTATACTGTTATACAGAGGTTGTTCTACCTCACAGCATGAGATAAAAAATGAGCAAATTTCCAAATTCATTCAAAAAATGAATGAAAATACTCGAAAACAGAAATTCAGCAACTTTTTGCAAACTGTTATACTAGTATAACAGTTTTCCGAAACTGTTATACAGGCCTAAAAAGTCTTGAATTACTCGCAACAGTAGTTTTTATACAATATTTTCTGCATATTTTCCCGATTTAATGAAAGTTGATTTCGATTTGAACTATTATACTGTTATACAGAAATTATTTTACACCACAATATTAAAAAAAAACGAGTAAATTTCAAAATTTATTAAAAAAAATGAATGACAATGATTAGAAACAGAAATTCAGGAACTTTTTGCAAACGGTTATACCAGTATAACAGTTTTCCGAAACTGTTATACAGGCCTAAAAAGTCTTAAATTACTCCCACCAGGTGTTTTTATACAATATCTTCTTTATATTTTCCCGATTTAATGGCAATTGATATCGATTTGAACAAGTACACTGTTATACAGAGATTGTTTAAGACCAGAGCATGAGATAAAAATGAGTAAATTTCCAAAATTCTTTAAAAAAATGAATGAAAATGATTACAAACGGAAATTAAACAGTTTTTTTTTCCAAACTTTTATGCTAGTATATTAGTTTTCCGAAACTGTTATACAGGCGTAGAAACTGGTATGTTGGTTTAAAAAATGGCATACGATCGGAATAAATGCCAGATCACCTCCTGATTTTTTATACAATATTTTCTGCAATTTTTTCTGATTTGAAGGCATTTGATATCGATATGAACTATTATACTGTTATACAGAGATTGTTCTACCCCACAACATAAAATAAAAAATGAGTAAATTTCAAAATTCATTCAAAAAATGAAGGAAAATGATTAGAAACGGAAATTTGGCTATTTTTCCAAACTGTCATAATAGTATAACAGTTATAGGAAACTGTTATACAGGCGTAAAAACTGGTATATTGGTTTAAAAAATGAGCGGAAAAAGTGCTAGATCACTTCCTGATTTTTATATACAATATTATCTGCATATTTTCCCGATTTAATGACAATTGATATCGATATGAACTATTAAACTGTTATACAGAGATTAGTCTACCCCTCGGCATGAGATAAAAATTAGTAAATTTCCATAATTCTTTCAAGAAATGAATGAAAATGATTAGAAACGGAAATTAAGCGTTTTTCCAAACTGTTATACTAGTATAACAGTTTTCGGAAACTGTTATACAGGCGTAAAAACTGGTATATTGGTTTAAAAAATGGCGTACGAGCGGAAAAAGTGCCAGATTACTTCCAAAAGGACTATCAAGTAGGCTTTTCATCACATTTTGTTAGACTTTAGGGAGTTATTGTAGATATAAACTCTTATACAAAATGTTGAAGCTGGTATTCTACTTTAGAAAAATGTTTTATTTTTGAAATTGGATCCCAAAGCATGATACCGGAAAGAATTTTCATTAAATTTTGATAACTAATAGAAAAATTCTGAACAGAAGATTTCTATTATTTATCAAAATTTAATGCAAAACTGTTATACAAAGACTTTTAACTGTGATTCAGCCTTTAAACTTATTACTTGAAAGTTTTCTTTTTCCTAAAATCTTGCTATTTACACTTTGTTGTTTAATAAGATTTATGATTTTTAGCAATTTAAAACTGTTATACTCAACAGCAAATGAGTGTTCAGAATCCTTGTAGCTTTTCAATAAAGTTAAAGTGAATTAAATGCTGTCAAATGTGGTATACAATGCTTAAAAATTGCAATTTTGCATATTTTATCAACTGTTATACCAGTATAACAGTTTCCAGAAAACTGTTATACTAGCAAAAAAAAAGTGTCATATTGCTTCCAGAAGGGATATCATGCATGAATTTAATAAATTTAAGCAATTTTTACTGCATTATGATGGAATTAAACTGTTATAATGTAGGTTAAAATGATTCAAAACAATAATACTAAAGCGATTGAAAGCATCTTAGCCTTTAAATACAATTTCAGTGGTAAAATGTTCTTTGATATGCTGTAAAAAGCTTTAAAATAGAAATAAAACATATTTCGGAAATTGTTATACTAGTATAACAGTTTTCTTGAAACTGTTATACTGGTATGAAAAGTTTAGTTTCGCTTTCTAGAACATTTTAACGTTTGTAGTAGTTATTTTTTAACTGTTATACTAGTATTTTAACTGTCATACTGAACTGAAAACTTCTTTTTTTTTAGTATTTTTCATAAAAAAAAGGAAAAATTCAAAAAAAACAAACATAGTTTAATTTTTCATTTTTTTTCTAATTATAATGTCATATTGTGATTTATAATACCGTCTAGCAATAAAAAATTGTAGCTCAGGAGTGTAATTTTTTTTACAAATTCAATTCGAAATTTTGCATATGTTTTCCATTGTGGCAGCCTTATTGGAAGTGACAGTCCTTGGCTGCTTGCAAACTGGCAGCAATTCTACCCCTCCATACCCACACATGACCTTGAATACCAAAATCCACTCCCTATATATAATCTCCTTCCTGTTCTAGCTTCGATAAACCTTTGTTGTATTTCATGCCCATTGTAAACGTTGAAAAGAAAACAAAAACAATGTCAATCACCCTTAAATTGAATTCAATTCAAATACAAACACATCTACATTTATACACACTCAGAGAGTAGTATTCTTTGTTCAGAAATATATTAAAATGTTGGGTTTTTTTCATTCAAGCCTTTCATATGAATGCTGTTGTTCATCATCTTGGCAGCAAACAAACAACAACAACAAAAACCACACAAAAAATGAAAGGTAAAACATAACACCAAAGAAGCAAACGATTGCATGTGGGTGCGTTTTTAAGCTCTAAATAGCAGCACTTACAAGCTCGTGTTTTATGGCAATTTTTTTTTTTGACAGAGCCCAAAAAGGCGAAAAAAAATACTTCACAGATACCCAAGTATTCTGGTGAAAATACAAAACAAGTTTTGAGAAAGGAAAATAGGCACCAAACTTTAAAAAAAATCTAAATTGGCGACACAGATCTCATTACTTGTTTCTTAGATAAGACCATATAAGGGGGGAATATACAATTTTTTTATATATATGGAATACAAATGTTTGCATGACTTGACTTCTTCTTGGGTCTTTGTTAAACAATAAAAACAACACGAGTTGTTTATCTTAAATCCAAGCAGACATGAGTGGTGTGTGTTTGTAATACAAATGTAGGCGAACAATTTTCTAGGGCATTTTTGAAGATAATGCAGTGATAGTATTGTTGTTGTTGTTAGCAATATTTCTATCAACACACCGACGCACCGGAATTAAACTACAATTCGGAGGATTTATAGAACTGTCAATCGTTGGAGAATTTAAAATGGTAATGTTTATTGTCGGCAGTTTTTCTTTCTTTTTCGAATAGGAAATTTAGAAACAAAACTGATTTTTTATTCTTTGCTGTGTCGTGGTGCCACAAATTTGTTTACAAAACAAATATTTTTATTACTTTGTTACTTGTAATTTTTTCTAAAATAAAAATAGACGTATGCCGTAGATGATATTTTCAGATATAGATATTTCCAAATTTATTAGTTTTTTAATCCAAATATTTGGAACCGATGAGGTCTTAAAATATAAAGTGGGCTTGGACACAATAGAGGCTTCTTTCTGATTACATTTTAAGACTACCTTGACATCATCTTTAAAAACTCCCTACTACACGCCTTTATTAAACACTTCCTAATGCTCATTCCTAAAATGTTATGTAGTAATGCCTCAAAAGACGTTTTCCAATTGTCTTAAGTACTACCTTTGGGTACTCTTTTGGGGATTCAATTCTTAAAGTCAGTAAGTTCTTAATCCTGGTCATCTATAGACTCCCTTCTGGTCACCAATTAGGGCTACTACTATCATAACTCTTTTCTGTCGTGATTTAGACTTTCTTCCGTTCATGAAAAAGACTTTCTTCCTGCCGTTTGTGAGACTTCTTTGAAGTCATATAGTAAAATAAATTTCTGAGCATTTGTGAAGAGTTCTATCTGTTTATCTGGTCATTGTGGTTGTATACTTTCTTCCGTGGGTCTTTAAAGTTCCTTTATAGACTTCTCTCGTAGACGTATTCAAAAACTTCCTACAGTCGTGTTGGGAAATGTCCTTCATTGCCTAAAAAGATCGTCTCCTTTTGCTATCTCTGTAAAAAATATAATATTAATAAAAACTATTAATGGTAGGGATTTGAGCCAATTTCTGCAAAACTTCACATAACCCAAATTGTCCTCAACGACAAATAAAAATGGGTGGTGTCTTTCATCAGCCGCCTTCGTTCGACAAGAGTGGTATGAGTAATTCTTCCATAGCAAGAGGTTTTGAAACTTTTGTACAACAATTAATTTCTAGTAAATATTTAAAATATATTTAATTATTTTTTTGGTAAATATAAAAAATATTATTAAACTTTTCTTACATGAAAGCAAGCTTCACTTTCTTTTGAACAAATGACATTTAACTGGCTTCCCTCTTAAATCTTGCTTTACTCATAAAGCAAATGAAAGTTATTAACAAAATACACAAATTAACTAAGGCGTGTGCCTTAATAAACATGTCAAAATTAATAAATTCCTTATATTTTATTAATTTGGCACCAAAAAATGAATTCTTCTATTAAATTCATATTGATTTCTTCTTATCAAGCAAATTGCCCTCAAGAGCGCCAACGTCATTATGTCATGTACTCTTCTCTCTTTAGTTCTCCTCCCAACTCTCATTAAATCAATTATTTTTACCTTCTCGCGGCTAAACAATTGACATGTACAATATGTCATACAAGACGTCATTCAGGGTTAACAATACAATACAAGACGAAGAAGAACAAGAAAACAATTAAGGAAATGCAGAAAAACAACGAAAATAAAAAAGAAACAAAAATCTATGGCACCATTCATTAATGGGCTTTCCTGAAAAAGAAAAGAAACAGCAACAACAAAGGAAAACGGAAAGAACAAAACGATACAAACATTAAGCAACGCAACACAGTAAGTGAAGTATGAACAACGACAACAACAACAACAAAACAAACAACAAGTGGTATCCAAAGTTAGTTATGCACAATAAACCACAACTCAAGTCATAATGATTAAAGTCTGCGATAAAATATATATATAAAAATAACAACAACAATAATAGCGGCTCATCAAACTAACAGATATAAAGTCAGCGAGTGGGGATGATGGGTGTAAGTAGTGGAAAAAAAAAGAAAGCAAAAAGCACGTCAATCGTCATATGAAATGAAATGGAGAAAAGCACACACGTACACAAACAAATAAATACAAGAAAAGGCCGGTTATATTGTAAGGAGAGAGTAAAAACATGAGTTGCAAGTGAGGGGATCTAACAGAACAATGGGGGGTTTTCGTAATGGGGTTGGGTTGGAAAAGCCAAGAATAGACAAACACAAGACAACAAACTAAGATATAAGTTTTCCTTAACTGTCTTTAATCATTAAGAACAACAATGAATCTGTGAATAGACGTAATGAATGCTTTTTAAAAACTAACAAGTAAGCTCAGCCAGCCAACTTAAATGGGGGAAACCACACAAGCAGAATTGCGTCAATTTTTTTTCGTTTCTTTGATAAGATGCAGTCTTGCAAATCTTACAATTTTTTATTCGACAATAATTTACTTACAATTTCAATATGGAGCCTATTGTTTTATTTCCAATTTTCACAATTTTTTGGTTTTAAAAATTTAACATAATCTCTTTCACCTTGCCTTGGGGCTTTAATTTTCAAACAAAAAAAAATGAATTTTGCACTATTTTTCGTAGACACTAACACAGACGTCATTCAAACTTTTTCTGGAATTTTACTTTTCCGTTTGTCAAGCGAACTCAATTTTCATGTTTTCCATATATCGCGTTCATATTTTTTTCATTCCTTTATTGTTTGAATTAACTTAATATTAAAAATTATTTGATGAAACTAAAACATAAAAAAATCACTTAAATATTATATTCGTTTGTAAATATTTGTTTGGGATTCGTGTGTGGCTGCTTGCTTGAAAGGTACGAAAAAAACTAATGTAAATTGAATGAATGACACAGATGGAATGTCGTGTAAAAGAATAATAATAAAGAACATTCACCGGGCAATGTTAACACGAAAGCCACAGAATGAAGCAACGTATGGCAGCATGTGAACCTCTAAATATATTTATAGAAATAAATGGTGATTTAATGCGTGACTAACCTCTTGACGGTTTTCTGGTTTCCTATTTCTATCTACTTTTAATCAATTAATATAGTTTTTGTAAAATTATTAAAATTTTTTCCCGCCAAATGGTTTGGTCGTACCATAACGTGTGAATCCAATATTTCTCTTTACAATATGAGTCAACTTTTGTTTAGTGAACATTGCATCTGCGAAGATAACTTCTCTATTGTTTCCTTTCCCCTAAAGTAGTGAAAATACGTCTTTTAATTCAAAATTTTGTGTGAACTCTTGTAGGCCACATGAATTAGATTTTCTCAGAGAGAGAGACGATCTCAATAACCCTATTAGTGCCCTGTACTCTTTTCGATCACTAATGCCCTGCTTTTAGAGGCAATATCTTTCTTATTTATGATTTTATCAGTTATTTTCTTTTCCACTTGTTTCGTATAAAAAAAAATCTTTGAACAAATCTGTTATTTATATACATATGTTGCAGCCGCAAAATTTACAGCCCCACCTTCGTTGTTTATAAATTGCCACACGTCTTTATTAAGAATCCCCACAAACGCAGGCAACGTTAGTTTCAGAGCTCATTAAATGAACGTACACAGCTGATTGCCTTGTACTCATGTCTCATTCGTAAACAATAGAATTTTCGGACGTTATGCATTACACCCATTCACAACAAAATTACTTGGGGGTTTTTGTTTTCTGTTTATTAACTATCGGGCATTATCTTTTTCCTTTTTACTTGTTTCGTTGGGGACGTCTTTTATTTTGGTTGCGACAAAGTAGATCAACATACACTCACCTGTAGGCCTTGCACTCACCTCCCTAACAAGAAGGATATTGGAATCGAACAGGGCTATATTTTAAAATGTTAAGTAGTCTAAGGAAAAAACTCAACAATGCCCTTGCAGAAGCATCGATTATAACAGAAAATCTACAGCAGCAGTATCGTCAACGTGTCCAAAACTCCGATGTAAAAAGAAACCTTTGAGTATTTCGAAAGTGGGACATAACATAATTTTCTTTTCAGAATCTAAGTCGTAGTCGCAGTTCCAGCTCATTAATTTTGTCTCCCAGCGAACTGGGTCTACCGCCCAATGTTAATGTAGCTGCTGGTTGTAATTTACTTGCCAAATATGAAGAAGACTGGAGAATTATACATCAAAACAACGAAGACAATGCGCGTAAGGCGGAGGAAGTTGCCAAGCAAATACAAGGCATCGAATCGAAAATGAATCAACAACAGGTGGTCATGAGTGATTTGGTACATTGTCTAGCTGCTATACCGAATGTAGTGCTGAAATTAAAAACATGCCAAGATACCTTGCGCGAGGTACAACAACTAGGTGAAAGCGTAGAAAAAGAGCTGGAGAAACTAGAAGATTTATGTGCTGAATGTGAACTTGAGGAATATATGCTGGAGAAACAATGTGAACTATCGAAATTTAAGCAAAAGAAAATGGGTAAGATCCTTGGCTTTTGTAGGATAATAAATCTATTAATTTTCTTTTCCTAACAGAGGAACTAGAGTCCTATCGCCAAAAAGTGGCTGCTGAACATCAAGAAAGAATCCGCTTGCATGAGGAGAAATTGCGTACGATACAAAAAGAAAGACAGGCCGTGTTTGATGATGCCTTTCGCCATGATTTAAAGGAATTCAAGGAAAATGGACACATACCAAGTTCGTTAATGATCAAATTGCTAATAATTCCAAATTTATGATTTGTTCCCCTTTCTAGAAATTTCAAAAGATATAAAACCAACTGCTATATCATTGGAGGAAGTCGATTTGGAAGACATATCAGAGACCAAAGATGCTCTTGAGGAGTTTTTAAATGGATGATTGTTGTTTTTTCGCTTTTTGTTTATACCTATATTAACAACAAAAGTATAGTCCACAAAGTGCCTGCATCTGTTATGATATAAAGCAAAAACCTAATAGTGCAATATACCATTACCAGAAAAACAAAGGAAAATCCTCAACACACCACCAGCCAATTATTGATGTCAAACATTTAACCCACCCACGACATTAAAGTATTTGTTATAACTATATACATATTTTTATATTAAATAGAATTTGATATGTAAAGGGAATAATCAATTTAATACAAAAACAACAATATGACATTTCGTTTTCTCCATATTCTTTGTGGTAAATAAATGTTTTATCACAAATAACTAGTTCACATTAAAGCTTTGCGATGGTTAAACTCCTTTTGAATTCCGTCCACACATAACAAGTCCAGTCAATTTCAACTGTCATTTCCATTGCGTATATGTCAAATAAAATCCGTTGGATTTAAGAGTCATTGTAATTTGACATATAGGCAATGTAATTGACAGTTCGAATTAGTGAGTGTAAATACACTTTTAGAAACTGATTTTTTATTCACCGCATTTCCTATATCCAATACAATATCCTCTATTAAGTTTGATTTTAATCTTTGTAGAGTACGTGACCTCACGTGCGTCATTCACTAACTGAAGGTTAATGTCATAATGACAGTGTTCGTGCCTACGATACGTCTTCATTCATACCATAATATATACAAAAAAAATACTTAAATATTAAATAAATATTCTACCTAACGTGGAAGCGAGTTGACTGTGAATCAGCGAAAAGCATCCGTCACTCATTTTCTTAAATAATAACCACCGATCAAATTGAGTTCAAGTAACTAGTTCCTCGGCTCCATTTGAATGAAACTTCGAGCTTCATTCTCCTTCCATCCTTTTAAACCTATTTTCTTTCTCTTTCTTTACCAACTTCTCTTTGTTATTCTCTCCTCATTCGTAAACTTGGAAAATTTGCTTTTAGTTAAGTTTTATCAGGCAATTTGTTTTGTATTTTAAATTAACTCGTATGGGACGTTTTTAGCTCTGGTGTTACCAATACGCAACAAAAATCGTTCCGCTGTGCTTTTTTTTTGCTGAAAATTATTAAAACATTAAAGGAATAAAAGATATATTACAAAAATGGATGAAGCCGAACTAACAAGGTTAATATCAAGGATATATTGCATAGGATATATCTTCCATTCCTCGGAGCGTATTTATACACATACTGATGAATATTTAAAAAAGATTTTGTGCCATGTTTCAGTGGCCAATAGTGGGCTTGCATCTTATTGTGAACAATAGTTCCACAAGGCACTCTAGACTTGGGAAACAGAAAATGGGATTATAAAGTCGAAAAATAAAACCAGAACTGTATCAAGCACACATTTCCCGGGGAAAGTCGCCAGTTTATGGCCGCATAAAAATGGAAACGTTTCTTCCTTCAGATTAAGAGGACCAGAAATCTTAACTATTTTTCCCTATAGCCAAATAACTATCAACTTTACTAATCCTCCTTTTATATACCTTTCAGAAAAGCTGTCGAGGAAATAATGCGAGAAATGCAAATGCAAAAGGAGGCCGATGTGTTGCCAAGAATCCAAGAACGAAAAATTAACCCCCTGGGTAAACCAAATAAAGATTTCTTGGATCGCACCATTAACTCGGTGATGAATCACAACAAACGTCAACACGATCGCAACTTTAAAAATTGCCAACGAAAGCTACGAGATATGGATGCTACCAGCAGGGATCGTAGAAAACGTAGATTTTCCAGTCACAAAACGCCAAGTGGTACAGATTCAGAAAGTTCTTCAGATGCCGAGAAGAAATATCACAAGAATAAGAGGAACAAGAAACTAACAAAAAAGAAAAAGAAGAAACATAAAAAACAACGCTCATCCTCTTCATCATCATCGTCGTCGTCGTCCTCGAGCTCATCATCTTCTCCCTCAACATTGTCCTCGGCCACATCCTCCGAATCGATTGATAGCAATGAGGAGTTGGGAAAAAAGAAAAAACGGAAAAAACATAAAAAGAAACATCACAAAAAGGAGGAAGAAGAAGAAGAGCACATTGAAGCCGACCAATATTACCAAGAAGGTACAATGGACCACCCAGATCCCCGTTTAGGTCTCTATATGGATCCCAATATGGCATTGGCGGCAGCCATGGCCTATAATCAAATGAGTCATTTGCTGCAGGCCAACGCTCGAGATCCTGAATTGGATATACTCAAAGAAGAGCTAGAAAGTGATCCGGAAAAGCAAGACATTCCCAGTGATTTAAGTTTAACATATCATACCTCAGAATCGGAAGATTTGAATATTAGTCTGAATAGCTCCTCAGCGGAGGAAGATGAAAATGGTATATTAACATTTAATTTATCATCAGATGAGGAGAAAAAACAGAAGCTGAAATCTAGCAAAAAACAAGCCAAGGAAAACGGTACAAATCCGGAATCAATCACTTATGTTTTGGACAATGAAAGTGATAAAGAGGATTTGGAAAGTGTTCATTCACATATATCTCTTAAATCAGATGTTTCGGATCGGGGAAATAAAATTACAAACAATATTGTATCGATTTTAAGTAGTTCGTCTTCAGATTCCGATTGTCAGGAGGTGGAATTATCAGAGCAGCCTGTACCAAAAGAGGCTGTGGAGACTACACAGGATCTTGAGGATAGTGTTCCAAGTGTAAATTTGGAAGTTAATAATACTTCGCCCCCACATGATGTTATGGAAGTGAGCAGAATTGTACCTGAGGACACAGAGAACCTGGAAGCAAATGAGAATGATAAAAATGAAACTCAAGCAAAAGATAACAAAGAAATTACAGAAATCAAGGATATTCCTGATGAGACAGAGGAAAATGTCTCGGAAAATAATGAAGGCAATGAAGTTGAAGGGAATAAAGAAAGCTCTCAGGAAAATGCCAACAATGAAACGTCTGAAAATGTCTCGGAAAATAAAGAAGGCAGCGAAATTGAAGAGAATAAAAATGACAGTAAGGAAAATAGGAACATAGAATGTACTTTGGCAAGCGTTGAGGATAATAGCACCGCTGCAATGTCAAAAACAGATTCTGTAAAAGAAGAAGTTTATTATGAAAATCTGCTTTCAAAGGAAATTAAAACTGCTACAAATGTACCCGAGAATACCAACATTGATCCTTCCGCCACAAAAGATGAAATTTCTGTAGAAAAACCATATCAATCTGAAGATTCTAATGAAAATATGGATAATAACCAGGACCAGAAAGACATGGTAGACAGAGAAAATCGCGGTAAGACAGAATGTGAAGAAGTGACAAGTAAAGATGAAAATCTCATTGAAGCACCCACCGAAGCTGATTCAAATGAAGCAATAGAAGAGTCCTTAGATCGAAATAACTCTAGCCCTACCCAACATCCAGCTACGAACAAGGAATCTGAAAACAAAACAAATTTGTGTGACGAAACTAGTAACTCATCTATGGAAGAGGATGCTGAACATGAAAGTCATAATCAAAACTCTGAACCTGCCCCTGAAACAGTAGTCGATTTGACAAGTGATTAGTTTAATATTTGAAAATATAAACATTTATTTGTAAAAAAAAATAATTTAAGTTTATTTTGTATTTAGCGCGAAATAATGTTATTTATTTACATAAAAATAAAGTAAGATAAAAATAAGTGCAGAGATTTAATTAATAACAAGCCCAAAATATTGGAAAAACTGAGTACATGGAAGTAAAAAATTCGGTCTGCAAGGCAGAGTAGTGGCCATACCATGGGCCATATATACCGTATTCTCATGGTAGAAGAATACAGGTAGATGCATGCCATGGTTGCATCAATACTTGGGAACATTTATATGTCAAAATTTTTAAAATGTTTTATCAAAAATAAGTAGATTTTTTAATGTTGTCTTATGCGATGCAAATCGCCGGTTGTTATGATACGTACTTTTTGACAATTTTTATAAATTTCAATAATTTTTCGTTCAAAAATTTCAATTCCAAAATTGATTTGACAATTCATTGTCCCAGCAGCTGCGTCGATGCGACTATCTTATTCTTCTACCATGCATATACATAATAATTAATAAAAATAAAACTAGATTAAAGCTGAAATAATAACTTCGGCGTGAAAATACAACACTATTACCACTTGTAGGCGACAACAGTGTTGTAATTTCACTAAAAGGTTCTGGAAAACAGCTATTATTTGCAGTTCAAAAACAATTTACAATACATTACGTCGTTTTCTACGTTGCGCTACTTTCGTGTGAAATGCAACTTTATTAGAAAATAGTAACAATTGCCAAATTCTACCCTTAATATATATTCTTTTATATTTCTTTCCACTTTCTTCTTATTAACCCCCCTTTACTCTCGTTTAAATAAAAAAATCGTTTTTATTCTGCACACAAGTACAACTCTATACGTTACGTTACCTGTTTGACTAACTACATGCATTTCCTACCGCAAAATACAACCCTGCGGCCTGGTGTCAATTTCATCGCTCACTCGCGTTTTTCTGTATCCATTAAGAAAATTTTTTTCTATTGATTAGACGTGTGATTTTGTAGATTGGATTAGTCCCGGAAGAATTTTTAAAATTTCTTTCTGGGAAAGTTATTAAAGTATTATTTAATTCCCCTCCATTAAAAAAAGAGTTCTTGAAGGTAAGTTAAATAATTTCAATAACAAATATAAAGGGAAACCTAATAATCATTGCCTAGGGAGAAAGGGAACTTTTTTTTCTTACGACGCCATCCGCATTCTTATTGGCCGGCTTAATTAATTCTGTTTGTCAAGTGTTTCATTTAATTGTCGTAGCACTAAAAACGCATTAGATTTTTGGATTCCAAATTTATAGTTCGCCTTGGCAAAATCATTCACATGTTATATAAAAAGTTGTGCCAATTTAGAAGAACGAAAAGTAATGTGAGGGTCGAGAAAAAACCTTAAAAAATGGCCGACCGACTGGGTGCGTCTGTATGCGGCATTTGCCACCACAATTAATTAACAAACTTGGTGGGGTTTCGTTGCGTTTGTGGTTGTTAAAACAACAAAAAAAACCGAATTAATTTTCTCTGTTGTCTGTATCTTTTGTGTGTGGCTAATTGTGAAAATCAAATTTATTAAATTTAATTTCCTTACCTAAAATGGCTTTAAAATGCATAGCAAAAACATGATTTTTATTTAATTTAGAAACAAAAGTCGTCGTAAAACTCTGTAAACGGATAAACGTTGTCTCGCCGAGTCCGGTTTTTTGCGGTATATATCAACGCGACGCCTCCGCCGCCGTCATCGTTCTTGGCATACACACACACACACACACGCTAACGTCTGGTGTGCGTTGTCTCCCCTCACAGATTCAATTGTAGACGTTTTTTGCTCGCAACACGTTTTTCGTCGTTACTTCGCTGCTAGCTGATCGTTGTCGCCGCTGTTGTCAACATGCCTGGAGCCGGAACTTTCAAATTGTTCATTGGCAATTTAGATGAAAAAACTCAGGCAACCGAGTTGAAGCCATTGTTTGAGAAATACGGTACCGTTGTGGAATGCGATGTCGTCAAGAACTATGGTTTCGTCCACATGGAAACGGAGGAACAGGGCCGCAAGGCTATTGAGAATCTAAACGGTTACATGTTAAATGGCAACGGTATTAAGGTAGAGGCCGCCAAGAGTCGTCGTGCACCCAATACACCCACAACGAAAATCTTTGTCGGCAATCTAACCGATAAGACACGGGCACCCGAAGTACGTGAACTATTTAAGAAATACGGTACCGTTGTTGAGTGCGATATCGTTCGTAATTATGGTTTTGTCCATTTGGATTGCATCGGTGATGTGCATGACTGCATAAAGGATTTGAATGGTCGTGTCGTCGATGGCCAACCGTTGAAAGTGCAAGTCTCGACGAGTCGTGTCCGGCCAAAACCCGGCATGGGAGATCCAGAACAGTGTTATCGTTGCGGCCGTCCGGGTCATTGGTCCAAAGAATGTCCGCGTTTGTACGGAGGCAATGGTGGCCGTGACTTGGGTCCGGGCGGCTATAGAGATCGTATGTACGGACGTGATCCCTATCCACCACCGCCACCACCACCACCATTCTTGCGTGATCGTATTATGGATGGCTTTAGGGTAATAAATTTGTTTTGTATTTACTTATCTAAGAAAAAAAAAAAGAAAACAAAAAAACTATTTGAGAAATTCAATATCATTCAACACAACTACTCTACATGCACCAAACAACAAACAGAAACATTACAACTAGAATTTGCAGAGAAATTGTATCCATGGCATAGAAGATCTCTAGTTTATTCTTTTATATGTTTAAATTCTTTATTTTAATGCTTTGCAAAGAATTTGTGGAACGCTTTTTTATAAGGTGCCACTTTGCCGCCTTTTTATAGTGATTGTCATTGATATTGACAATCACCGTTTAACTTGTCAAAAATAGCTGGGAGAGAAACAAGTTGGTGAATCTGTTCTTTTGAAATGTCATTACTTTGATTGGCGACAGGGTTTTTTGGTCTCCTCCCATTTTATTGACTGATTTTTCCCTTCATAAAACGTTTTGTAGTTGATCTCTGTTGTAATAAATGTTGGGTGGGGAAAGTGAACTCTCTCACTCTTTGGAGAAAATTTTCTTAGTTGGGCAGCCAAGAAAGTAAACAAATCACGGTTGCACTGTATTGATATAATCTTAGAGAAAGTTCGCCAAAATTAACAAAGCAGAGAGGAGAGATGAAGAGATCAGCTGTTTAATTTTAGTTGAGTCACGGAAAAAGCATATTGGGTACTATATTTTCGGAAAAAAATCTTGAAAAATAGAATGTCTAACGAAGAAACGGTAGCTTATTTGATGTATTCCTTGGCAGCAAGTGATTAGAAACGATGTAGATATGATAAAAACAGAGAAATTCAGTCTAATTAAACTTCCTTGGTAGCAAGCGATTATAAATCATGTAAGTCTGATAAAAAAGAGGAATTCAGTCTAACTAAACTTTGTAGATTCCAAGAGCTCATTCGCGATTTAGGATGCATTCTATGGAACATAGGCAAACAATGGGATCATTTTACAGAAAATGCATGTATTAAACATAAAATAAATTAGATTATGTTACTAAAGCCATTGCTTTAAGCTATGAAATATATTCGAGAAGGAGCAGAAAATCATGAGAATGTCGAAAACGTGGAACTAGGCAACCTGTAAAATATGAAAACTAAAAAAGTACATCAGATTTAATAAATACCTTGTAGGGCACTGGGAATTATTGAGTTAGAAATGGTCTACTGCCACATTCATTTCCAACATTCCCACTGGATACAATTTCTTTGCAAACTCAAATTACAACAATGTAACGTAAAATTTCTATCTTACAACATTTTTCATTTCATCATTACTAATTTTGATTTTTTTTCACACATTTACAGGACTACGATTACTATGATCGTCGTTTCGATGATACCCGCGATTTGTTCGAACGCCGCTATCAGGGATCACGCATGCGTGATTTCCCACCACCACCGCTGTCGCGACGTGATCCCATGCCGTTGCCACCCACGTTGAATGGCAGCCTGAGAGGCAGTAGCCTATCCCGTGGCTATGACAGCATGTTCAGTCGTCGATCACCGCCACCATCGCGCAGCAGCAATGGCATGGGCCGTTATGGTGGTTATGAAGATTTTAGTCGTGATTCGTTTGATGATCGTATGATATCACGTGGTATGCGCAATCCCTCACCACCCGGTCGCCGTTATGCACCGTACTGAGATGAACTGTATTATAGTAATAGTTCGAAGACCTCTAGAAGATATGATGATGGTGGTGCAAAAGAGGAAAAGATATATCACAATAGATTTTTTGTTATCAACTTTTGAGGAGGCATAACTATTATTATGTTTTTTGTTTAATATTTTGATTTTTTTTTTTTGAACAGAAATTATATATTACATATATAATGGCACATAATGATGACTACAAGCATAGGTCCCAACCCTCCCCCATACATTTTTTTATGTGACAACAAGAAAAAATCAAATTCCTCTAATTTTTGCCATTTCTTTTTTAACACTAAATTATATTAATTGTCTTTCTTATTTAAAGAAAGTTGTGTCTTTCATCTGTGTGTTCCCCCCTTGCTTTCCCTCCCCCCTCATCCAGAAAATAATTGTAATTTTAATTGTTTTCAAGACCATTGAAATTAAGAAAATGTAAAACAGCAGATTTTATATTTCTGCTGCTTTCCTCCCCCTCTCCTATCCACAACATTCGCTTTTGTGATGTGAAAATCATAACCCTCCCCCAAGAGAAATAGAATATTTTGTATTGAAGTAAAAAGTAAAACGTATAATTTTTAAGACATATTATTTAGTTGAAACATATTTTAAGATTTCTTTTTGTCATTCTCTAATTTTTCCATCTCTCTATCATTAAATTAAAATGCTTTGATTTAAAATAAAAAGCCACCAGTTCTAAGTAGTAGTTATACCATACGTACACATACACTTGATCTGAACCATTTTTAAAAAAAGTTTACACTATGTATATACAAACGTATAACATTACTTATATTTACCTAAACTACCTATATAATAATATGATGGAAAAATAAATACACAATAAAAAGTCTTAAAAAACACAAAATATTTTTGTGACAAAAATGGAATAAGTTTTTTTTTCTTCATTTTTTAATAACAATTTTTTGAGAGAATCTAGATGAATGTTACGCATGTCATGAAAGCGTTGTAAAATGGGTTTACGAGTGAAACGCATGCAAATATGTTTGCACTCGAGAATAAGGCGCAAGTATAGCAGAGTAATATACGCGGCATCTGTGTAGCCACTATTTTTATACCCTCCACTATACGTAGTATGGGAGGGTATATTAAGTTTGTCATTCCGTTTGTAACACCTTGAAATATACGTTTAGACACCACAAAGTATATATATAGGGTGAGATAAAAAAAACTGCAACAAAGTCAAACGCCATAATTTTTACATTTTTTTCTTTAAATTCTTGAATGAAAGCAAAAAATGTCGGAAGGCAAATGAAACCATCACACGCTGTCCGAATGTTGCTCTGCGTTATTTTGGCCCATTCCCGGCGAAGCGCTTACTTGAGGTGATCGAGACTTTGATATTTTTTAGTGCCAACCTTGCTTTCCAAAATACTCCAGACACAATAATCCAACGGATTGGTATCTGAAGATTTTTCGGGCCATTGAGCGCTAGAAATGAAGCGAGGAATCTCATTTTGTAACCATTCTTGGGTGACGCGTGCTGAGTGCGATGGTGCTGAGTTCTGTTGGTATATCCAAGGTCTGCGGCCAAAATGTTAGCGTGCCCAAGGCTTTAATACACCCTCCAGAATATTTTCGCGGTATTCGGCATTTATTCGATTAATACGAGCGGAGAGCGACAATCGGTTGTTATGGCGGCCCACACAATCACCATGGCCGGCGCTTGAGTTCTGGTGGCCAACCGAAGGTGCACATTTTCAGCTGACCTCTTTGGCATGTAAACACGATCATTTGGTGTGTTTACAAACTGCTGGACAACGAATGTTTTCTCATCGGAGAAAACAAAATTCGGCAGTTCACCACTTTCGGCCAACCTCCCGATATTCGGTATTTTTTAGCGACATTTTTCACCGGAATTGCTTAAAAATTGGTATTTGAAGTTCGTAATGGACACTACAGCCTATGACAGAAAATTGCATGTGCAGGTCAACGTCTTCGTATAGCCCCCATATAACGGCACCTCCCAATATTCGATATTTTGATGATTTTAGATTCATTATTCACCGGAATTGTTTCAAATTTGGCATTTGAAGTTCGTGATGGTACTACAGACTATGACAGAAAATTGTCTGTGCAGGTCAACGTCTTCGTATAGCCCCCATATAACGGCACTTCTCAATATTCGGTATTTGATTGATTTTAGCGACATTATTCACCGGAATTGTTTCAAATTTGGTATTTGAAGTTCGTACTGGACACTACAGCCTATGACAGAAAATTGTCTGTGCAGGTCAACGTCTTCGCATAGCCCCCATATAATGGTACCTCCCTATATTCGGTATTTTGATGATTTTAGTGATATTATTCATCGGAATTGTTTCAAATTTGGTATTTGAAGTTCGTAAATGGATACTTCAGCCCAAGACAGAAAATTGTCTGTGCAGGTCAACGTCTTCGTATAGCCCCCATATAACGGCACCTCTCGATTTTCGGTATTTTGATGATTTTAGCTGCATTATTCCCCGGAATTGTTTCAAATTTGGTATTTAAAGTTCGTAATGGATACTACAGCCTATGACAGAAAATTGTCTGTGCAGGTTCACGTCTTCGTATAGTCCTATATAATGATAACTCCCGATATTCGGTATTTTGTTGATTTTAGCGACATTATTCACCGGAATTGTTTCAAATTTGGTATTTGAAGTTCGTAATTGATACTACAGCCAATGACAGAAAATTGTCTGTGCAGGCCCACGTCTTCGTATAGCCCCTATATAATGGTACCCCCGATATTCGGTATTTTGATGATTTTAGCGACACTATTTGCCGGAATTGTTTCAAATTTGGTATTTAAAGTTCGTAATGGATACTACAGCCTATGACAGAAAATTGTCTGTGCAGGTCAACGTCTTCGTATAGGCCCCATATAAAGGCACCTCCCTATATTCGGTATTTTTATGATTTTAGCGACATTATTAACCGGAACTGTTTCAAATTTGGCATTTGAAGCTCGTAATGGATACTATAGCCTATGACAGAAAATTGTGTGTGCAGGTCAACGTCTTCGTATAGCCCCCATACAACGGTACCTCCCGATATTCTGTATATTGATGATTTTAGCTACATTATTCATCGGAACTGTTTCAAATTTGGTATTTGAAGTTTGTAATGGATAATACAGTCTATGACAGAAAATTCGGCATTCGGTATTTATTTAAGATTTTAAGAGAATTTTTAAAAAATGCCAATTTTTTTAGAAATTGCCAAATTCGGCCCAAATAGTGGAGGGCTCGGCACCGGCGAGCTTTCGGCTTTTTTATTTGTTTATAGTTCCTCGAGTCCATAAAATTCAAAATAAACTCATTTTTGTTCCAATTTCAATATAAACTGGATATTAGGCCAGCATCCTTTGTTTCCTTCACCCACCACTCGGCCTCATCTTGGACATATACTACAAAAGTAGATATTCAATATCGAAAAGAAAATGAAAATTTGATAATTTCTGTAGGAACAACTGAATACCGAATGTTCGAGTTAATTATTAAAAAGTCTTCCTTTTCATCTCAAACTTGATTCTCTTAGCCTCACTCCCTGACTTACAAAATAAACACCCTCAATTGTTGTTTAGCGACTAAAAAACAATGTTTTTATTAAGGTATAATATTTCATGTTACAAGTAATGATATGAGACCTTAAATTAAAAACTATATTTTCCTCTTTTTTATATTTTAAGGCAAAATATGTAAAAAAATATGCGATTCTTACATAAGCGAAAAAATAATAGATCTATGATGCAACAGTGACAATAAAAAATCTCTAACTGAAAAAAAGATCGAATACAAATTCATAAATTGGTAGAAATGTAAAAACAAGCATAAAAAATATGAATTCGAAATAGAAAAAACAATTCATTTAAAACCTCGACAAGTGGTGGTATAATTTCAATAATTACATCGAATCGAAATGCAAGTACATTATTCTTGAATTCTCGAATTTTTAAGTAAAAATATTATAAAGCCATAAAATATGTTGCCGCCGCCTTTGCATGTTTTTGGGTGGTACTCCTAAACAAGCAATCTTAACACTCTCATATGTATGTGTGTTTCCTCTGGAAACCGGTTTTTTGTAATTTATTCAAACTATATGCTCTTCTATACACATTACTTTTTTTCTTCTACTCCCCTCTCCCACCAACGACAGAAATATAGAGCCACCGAAATGAAGACCGCAAACTTATTGATAAACTAAGAAATTTTCCATTTTTGTTATCTTCTGGGCGAAGGCCTTGCCCATTTCGGTGGGTGCACTAAAGGCAATTTTATCCAAGGGTATTTCTTCACCATAAATTGTATTTAATTGCACTGCTTGTATCAGCTTGGTGGCGATGTGGAAACGACGATGCAAAGGTGAGACCCAAATGCGTGAAATACCACATCTAAAAGGGAAAAAATAGAAAAATATTAAAACTTTGCCACATCAATGGCAAAATTAAACCACTTACTTGGCCTCGAATTCCTCTTCGGTACAACAATCGACACCATTTACATTCATGTACTTATTGGCCTTATCCAGTGGCTGGACCAAACACAAACCCACAATTTGCATTTTCCTAACGGCAAAGTAGGCCATAAACGTTTTTGGTATAATATACGATGAAAAGCCCAGCTCTTTATCGACTATTTTCAAAATATCCATAAGACGTTCCTTGCGCTTGAGCGGTGACGTTTCGGTTAAACGTATAATACGTCCATCGGGTCCCCATTCAGGGAATATGGCCATAATGTCTTCATCAATCCATCCCTTGAAACGTAAAACATGCAGCGAAGCATGGAAATCTCTATGCAACTTCTCTTCTTCCGGTTCATGGGCGGTGTAGACAAGGCCACATTGTTTGCACTGATGGGCCCCAAACTCCTTTTGCCCAGCATCGATTTGATATTGATTTTGGCCAAAGCCAGCATTCCAGGTACGTTGGGGTTGTTTCCGTTTGGTGGCAGGTATTGACAACGGCTGGCAGCCACCGCCAGGATAGAATATGGGAAATAATTTGGGGGTATTTTCATTACTACTAACTGCCGGCGAGTGAACTGGCGGCACAACAACTTCAGTAAACTGCTGTTGGTTACATCTATTTTGGGTTGGTATAAATGTGACCGCATGCTCATTGCCCACAGGCGCAGATTCCTCCGTCACATAGGTTACCCTACTGCTGCTAGCCATTTCATCTTCATCCTTCAGTTTTATATCCAATGCCATATATTGGGCCAATATGGCATCGGCCTCTTCCTTTCTTTGTTCATAATTGGCTATGAATATATCGAAATTTTCCTCTGTACACAAGGCGTTCTCTTCCATGAAACTTAAAAAGGCCTCCTGTTGGGCTATCAATTGGGGATCGGTGGTATTGTAAGGTATTTTTTGACGAAAATCTTGCTGCTGACCCGTCACAACCATTACCAAATCATCAATGATACGTTCAGCCTCTTCCTTGTGATTATCGGGATCGGCAATGAAAATCGTGAAATTCTTTTCGGTGCAAATGTTATTGGTTATCAGGAAATCGAGTAGTAAATGCTGGCGCTCTATTATTTCAGGATCGGTGGTGTTGTAGGGTAAACGTTTTATAAATTCATTGTAATCCGGTTTGATATCATCCTTCACATCCTGCTGGCTATCGCCCGCAATTGAGTTGCATTCCTGGTTGTGCATTAGCGACAGCTGCATATCGATTTCATCCAAGAATTCATTGTTATTCAAAACATCGCCAGCATTGGCATTAAGCACTTGTTCCTCATCTTCATCCTGTACGGTCTCAATGATGTCACCAAAGGCTGTGTCATCCAGATTTCGTAATATTGCATCGACAGTGGCCTGTTCATCGGAGAATTCACTGGCAACTGGAAGGGAAATGCAAACAATTTACACTTTCTTTTCTAAAAAATGTCATGTTCATCCAACTTACCCGAATTTCTAATCTTCAATCTTTTCTTGACCTTTTTCTTCTCCTCCACCAGCCTGAGTTTACCATTTGCCTTAACCGTGGCCCTTATATTTCCCGTAATTTTGACCTCTTTCTTGGTATTCGTCTGCCTTCCCGACTTGAAGAATTTCCTTTTTGTACTACTCACCGATACCGCATCATCGGATTTAGTAGAAATTGCATCTTCATGCTTTACAATGGGTATGACCTCCTCATCCATTGCCCTTAATGCACTGGCAAAGGCTGCATCCTCATCCTCCTCCTCATCCACTGAATCACATTCAATGTCAGAGAAGTCGCTATCATTATAAAGGCTACTGGTGGCGGCCAGCGAGTGGGAAGAACCATAACATGTCTTATTGTTGTTATTCAATAGGGGTTTTCCATTGGCTGGCAAATTGTTGTTGTTGCTATCGTCCTGTATGCTCAACGAACTTAAGGGTTTGGCCATAGCAATGGGATTCGAGGCCTGGCGGAAGATGCTATGCACCTTTTCGATTTGTTGTTTTTGTTCACGCTTTGTGGTTATAAGGTTTCTTAGCTTTTCATTGCGCACATTGCTGAGGATACGCTCAATATCCACGGGGGCGTAATGCCTCTGGGGCACATGCATCGAAGTGCGTTTCTTAATTCGATGACGCACTCCTCGATTTATGAGCAAAGGATCACTGCGACGTGATGACTGACTTTTGTAGGTTCTTGGGGCATTGGTGGAGGAGGAGGTGGTGGTGTTGTTATGCGGACTGGTACGATTTGTGGAGCCAAACAGATTTCGGCACGTAGAACGATTGTTGTTATTGTTGGTGGGTGAGGTCTTGGCGCCTGAATAAAATGATTTTGTCGATATAGAACCCGACTCCAAGGGAGATACACTCTTTTTGGCTATTTTACGCATTGGACTCAAGCCCGTAGAGGCTTCTGCAACACAACGTTTATTTAGGTTCTTTTTTATTCTCTCCCGCTTATCTTCCACCATATCGTCTTCGTTATCTGCATCTTCATCTTCACTGGAGGTTTCCTCTATAACTATGGCCTTTTCACGTGGTGTAATTTGCATGGAATTATTGAACATCTTCTGGAGTTGTTTATCTTCCTGCTGTTGCTGGCGACTGGGTGTTTTTATGGGTATATTTTCCTTGTGCGGAGAACTAGACAGTTCTGAACCGGATTTACTAGAATTTGGTGAGACCTTTTTGCCACTTAAACGCAAACTTCTCCGTGTCGAGGGCGATATCTTTTCCTCCCCCACCAATTCAGCCTCATCCGAATCCACCTCAAAAAAGCTTATAATGCGTGGCGTTTTCTTACACGAACCACTGCCGCCCATCAGAGCTTCTAGATTTTTTGTACTTTTAGGTGTCTTTTGGTTATTTGCTGCTCCAGCAGCTGAATATTTTGTTTTACTTAACGTTAAAGGTTTTACACCGATCATCATGTCTTCATCATCGTTATCTGGCTCGGTCTTTGAATCGAATAGTTTCTTTTTCCGTTCCGATAATCTGGGTGTGTGATTACGCATGGATCGTATTTGTTGTGCAGCACCTTTTGGTGTCGTCTCCATATTTAGGGCATTAAATTGTTTTCATTAATTTGATGAAAGAAAATCTCTTTGTTTTTCTACTTTACGTGGCACTATCTCCTTATACACACACAAGCTCATATATTCCCACTAAGAACACACGATTTTCCCCCTAAGATTTTCTTTAATTTTCCCTAATGACGTCTGTCTTGTATTTTGAGCGCGATAATTGTGTGTTAACATTGCCTGGTGAATGACTGTTGTTGTGAGTTTCTTTTGCGTTAATTGCGTCTTTCTTTCTTTCTCTTTTTGTGGATACAAGTCTGTTATCCCCCTACTATCTTGGTATGGGGTCGATTGCCGTTCGATTGATCAATCGCCAGTCAATCTGTCTGTCGCCGCCGTGTAATCTGGAAGGTGTCTTCTAAAGCGCGCAAATGTAAACAGATGTTATCAATGTGTAGTGAGTGTGTGATCAGTTGTTGTTTGTATTTGACAGGGTTGTGGAAATGGGTACTCTCAATGTGATTGCCATGTTGCAGTTGTTGGTGATCTCACAGAGTTGGGAGAACGTGATTAGTGTAGACGTAGTGTGGGAAATGTTGCAAAATGGCGGGAAAAATGATTGAAAGAGGAATTAAAAGAATAAGTAAAAGTCATTAAATTCTTTAAGTAAATATTTGAAGTAACTGTAATGTGACTGCAAAGGCTGGGTGTGTTAATGCTCTCACAGAGTTCAGAGAGTGTGATTAGTGGTTGACGTAATGTAGGGAATTTTTATTTGGAATGAGAATGTTGCGAAATGGCGTGTAATAATGATTGTTAGGGGAAAAGGAAATGAAAAAAGGAAAGATAGAATTATATAATATAATGCTCTGAACAAATATAACATAATTTCTGTAATGTGATTGCTATTGTTGGGCTTATTAACGTTCCAACAGAGTTGGAAGTGGATAATTAGTGTGTGACGTAACGTAATAAATTATAATTCAGGAAAACGAAGAAAAACAGACTTTAAAATGTCAATAATATATAAAAAGGTTAGTACAGAGCTAATACTGCCAAAATATCGAAATGATAAAAGCCAACATACAAAAAGAATGTGAACTTCTGCTTAGTAATTAGTGGAGAATGTAACGTAAAGTTAAGTTTATATTTGAAAAAATGTACTGAAATGTATTAGGGGAGGTATAAACACATAAAATGAATACCAAAAGAAAAAGAAATGAATAAAAAATTCATTATTTTAAATTGTTTACAGATACAGATTTGTTTATTTTCTTAATTCTAGGCTTATGAATTCTATGTATCACAGTAAAATAATTACATTTAATCATATATATCACACCATTCTTTACAATTGCAGGTAAGTGTTACAAAATTATCTAGAAAATATCACAGATTCCATCCATTGAATATATTTGCTAACCCTTGTGTAAATTCCAGGCAGGCCAGGTCGGGCACAGCCAATGCCCGTGGAAACGACACCAATCAAAAAGTTTTCCTTGGACATCAGGGGGCCACCAGAGTCAGCCTTAAAGGAGAACATTGTTAAATATATCTCTAAAATCATTTTCGAATTTTATTTTTTACCCAGCATGAATCAATGCCGCCATTTTCATAGCCAGCACACATTTGCGTGTCACTGATGACACTCGACGGCCGTCCATTCAACTGATATGACTTCTCACAGGCATTATTGTTCCAGACACGCACAGTGGCCTTGCGCAAAACATCAGCCCGATCGCCCTCAGCCTGGTTTTCATTGGTCCAACCCCAGCCGGATACTGTGGCCAATTCATTTTCATTGCTACGCAAAAGATCGGAATTCAGACAAGACGGTTGGATATATTTCGAAAATGCTATGGGCTGTAACAACTCCATTAAGGCTTTAGGGGAGGTTAAAATAAAATGAAAAAAAAAAAAAAAATTAAACAAAAAAGAAAATCATCCATTAGTAACTCCGCTCACTCCCAAACGGGAAACCTTAACCTATAAATAGTGTTTTTAAGTACCAATATCATTTTTCGTGTTCGTGCACTGATAGTTCGGATGCGGTATTATATTCTTGAAGTTCACTTGCACCGGTGCAGCTCCATCCCGTTCGTTGTGTATGCCATTCAAATATTGCGATATGCTATGCAGCCCCACAACCCCCTGGATTTGTGAGGGTTTCATAAATTTATTCAGTCCATTGCAGATACAATGACCCGCCGTTAGTATCCATTTTTCATGGATTATTGTTGCGCCACAAAAATGTCCACCGCGACGCGTTAAACTAACCATATAGGGCATTTCATGTCGATCTGCCTCGAGGCCACCGACAATTTTCGGATTACGTTGTGAGCAGGACGAGTGTGATGAAACTGGAAAACAGTAAACGTTCGGGGTTTACAACCTAACCATTTTACCTACCTAGACACGTGTGTGTGTGTTTGTTTCCCTGGACGCATATTTAAGTCGGCTTTTCTTAATTTAATACACTAGTCGAATGTTCTCCTTAGCTAAGGTGAAATTCAAGAGAGCTTACCTACCATTTTCTTTTTTTTTGTGAGGAGAAATGTTAAAAACTGTAACCACATCCATGATATGGCGCCCAATGTGGAGATAGTGACATAAATCAATCAAAATGACTTGGAAACCTGAAAATAAATAGAAAAATAGTTTTTTAGTTTAAAATAAACCACCACGTTCGTTTGCGGATTCATAAATAAAATGTGTTTGAAAATTAAAAAAAATTGAGATTTTTCTAAACGGATTTCATTTTCGTGCTCTGTTTATTCATATCATAAGGACGATTTAAGCTGCTATCAGACGATAAAGGTGAGAATACATAAAACTCTTTTTGGCAGGCTCAATGACGCTTTTTGACAGTTAGGCTGCAAATACATAAAGAGCATATGTGGCTGGCTTAAGTCATCGGCTTGCTTATTCGTAGATGAACAAAGGAGCCTTAGGCAAAAATCGAACTAAGTCAACCTAAACCTCCTTTGTTCATCTACGAAGAAGCCAGCCGACGACTTAAGCCAGCAAGATAAGCGCTTTATGTGTTTCCACCTTTAGTCTTAAACGACGCCAATTTTCACATAAATTTGAATAGATTGAATAATTTTCAATTCAAAATATTGAATTCAAAAAATTGGTTTGGTCGTTCTTTGTACCATCAGCTGTGTCAATACGGCTACATGTATTACTTTATAATGAAACCAGTCAACAACCAACTCAAACGCATTTTAATTAGGTACGACTGCTCTGTGCATTTTTGCAAAGCTGCAATAAGGCTGCAACCATGTTCAGACTGCTGTCATTTCTAAGCCATTCGTCCGACAGCTGTTAAAATTATTCCAGTGACAGCCCATTATATTGTTTACAAGCGTACGAAAGCATTTTGGTGAGAATTTTCGAGAAAAAAAGATATTCGTAATGGAATTCAAGCGTGATAGTGTGATTTCTTTATATTTGGCTGGAAAACCACAAATGGCTATCGTTAGAGCACTCCAGTATTTAAATGTGAATAAATCTTTTGTGTCTCGTACCATCGCTCGCGTTGCCCGACGTCAAGGAAGTGGACGGAAGAAAACAGCAACATTCGAAAAGTAAAGAAGCGACTAGCGAAGTGGCATCGCAGTGGCCGAAAAATGGCTCGTTAGCAGAATATATCGCAATATTCCATTCGGCAAATATTAAAAAATGAGCTCGGGGTAAAGCCATTGAAATTCCAAAAAGTGCACGAACTTACACCGCAACAGAAAGAAAATAGACTCAAAAGAGCTAAAGAGTTGCTTCGCTTGGCCGAAAGTGGTGAACTGCCGAATTTAATTTTCTCCAATGAAAAAATAATTCATTGGCCGTTTGAAGGTCATAGTTCGTGCCAAAGGAGACCAATTCGAACAAATCTAAACTTATTCCAAAATTTGATGCTATTTCCGACATTTTTTGCCTACATAAAACTTTAAATACATACATAAATTTTAAGAAAAATGTAAAAATTATGGCGTTTGACTTTGTTGCAGGTTTTTATACCCTCCACCATGGGTAGGAGGGTATATTAACTTTGTCATTCCGTTTGTAACACCTCTAAATATTCGTCGTAGACCCCATAAAGTATATATATTCATAACCAGCATAAAATTCTAAGACGATTTAGCGATGTCCGTCTGTCTGTCTGTCCGTCTGTCTGTCTGTCTGTCTGTCCGTCTGTCTGTCTGTTGAAATCACGATAGAGCCCACATTATTTGACGTAGACCTTTGAAATTTGGCACAAGTGTGTGTATTGTCCCTAGGATTGTTGGTATTGAAAATGAGATATATCGGTCCACCTTCTGGTATAGTCCCCATATAACGGTACCTCCCGATATTCGGTATTTTCATGATTTATGCCACATTTTTTCACGGATTTATCTGAAAATTGGTATTTGTAGGTCATGACGGGTCCCTGAGCGTGTGGCAAAACATTGCATGTATAGGTCCACGTTTTGGTATAGCCCCCATATAACGGTACCTACCGATATTCGGTATTTTGATGATTTATGCCACATTTTTTCACGGATTTGTCTGAAAATTGGTATTTGTAGGTCACAACGGGTCCCTAAGCGTGTAGCAAAACATTGCATGTATAGGTCCACGTTCTGGTATAGTCCCCATATAACGGTACCTCCCGATATTCGGTATTTTGATGATTTATGCCACATTTTTTCACTGATTTGTGTAAAAGTTGGTATTTGTGGGTCATAATGGGTCCTAGGTCGTGTGGCGAAACATTGTAATTATAGGTGCACGTGTTGGTGTAGCCCCTATATAACGGTACCTCCCGATATTCGCATTTTAATGTTTTTTGCCACATTTTTTCTAATGTTCTTTTACCCTAGGGTGGAGGGTATTAAAAGTTTGGCCCGGCCGAACTTAATGTTTTTTTACTTGTTTTATCTCACTCTGTACATGTGCTGTCACTTTTATTTTCCATGTGTATTTCCGTGTGTATGTCATAATTGCAATTTTACATATGACTCATAATTTATTTCTTTTTATTACATCCTGATTATATTGTATTTTCTAAAAAATATAATGCTTTATGGATGACTTTTTACCGCAAATTTATTTTTTATATTTTTTCAAAACTAGGAAACAATAATGGTAGTATCAAGAAGGTAAAGTCATGCAAACATATGTTTTTTATTTTTTTCAAAATTCTTCGTTTGACATATGGTAGAATTAAGAAGGTAAAGCCATGCAATCATATGTTTACAATTTTGTTTTTAAATTATTCACTTGACAACATCTCATTGTCAAAATTTATATTTTAAAATCCATTGTATACACACAAATCAGAGATGGAAACCTGTTTTCTATGTCGTGTAATTTGACAAGGTAAATTACAGAAAATGCAGAGCTGGGAATGCTTTTTTAAAATGAATATACCTTCTCAATTTTACCATGGTTTGACAACATCTCATTGTCAAAATAAATATTTATAAATCAAACACACAAATCAGAGATGGAAACCTAGTTTTTACGCTGTGAAATTTGACAAGGTTAAATTACAGAAAATGCAGAGATGGGAAAGTTTATTTGAAATGACATTACCTTCTTAATATTACTGTGGAAACAACCCTTTTGATTATATTATATTTTTAGAAAATACCTTTAGAAAATGCCAGAGATTTCAAAGATAAATCTTATTAATATAGCACAGCTGATCATTATATTATCTGTCTAACAGTACGTTTACACACAAATGGTTTAACCCACTGTATTTGGATTAAAATTGTCATATCCATTACTTATACTTCAAATAAATCCTCTTAAAGTTGGTTAACCCTGCAAAAAGTTCTAACGTAAACATGGCATAAGTTAGTGACTCAAACTATATTACGATCAATATACAAAAATCACAGCTGATTAACAGACTAGCCGTCAATATATAGATTATTGTGAATGAAATCACTGTACAAAATGTAATATATTAAATGAAAAGAAATTTTGAAAACCACTGGATTTATTATAATTAATCTTAAATGTTTATATTCTACCAATTTTAATTTAAATTTCCAATTCCAACTTACCTGTTATTTAGTGTTGAACATTTCAACAAGTAACTCCACAGTTTGGGTAAATATAAAAGGACTCGTTGTCGTTTTGAAGAAGAAACAAAACATAAAATATTTTAATTATTATTTTTGTAATAATAGTAGCATTTCACAAAAACACGCATTTTAAAATAATTGAAAAAAATCCGGTTCTATTTACCTATGAACAATATATGTTTTAGCTGTTGCGTGACATTCCCAGCCCTTCGTAACTTGTTTTCAGTTATAGATTGGTGGATATCTGGAAATACTACATAGACATTTTAAAACAAGTGATACTAAAAATTCAGTGGGGAAGTGAAAAATAATTAAATTATTGCCTGAAATATAAGAAAAGTTTGCAACGGCCACAAAAAAAAAAAAAAAAAAAAATTATCAGCTGATGTTACGGGATAATTCTTTCTGAGTAAATTTTAAGATTTCCCTAACTCTCAGTAACTCAACTGTCAAAAATTCATCTTATCAGTCGCTCTCATTTACTGGACGTTAGGGCTATTGCGTTAACGTACACACCTATTAACGATCTTTATAATTCAGTTGAACGATTCACTTAAATGAGCAGCTGAACTAGTTACGTCAAAAACGTTAAGATTACCAACTAAGCCTTACTGAAACGACAAACCAATTTATTTAGAAGGCAAACCAAATGCCCTATGCAACAAACATACACGAACTCTGCTACTGAAATGACGAACGTCTGAAATAATAGAAGAATACAGGTAGATGCATCAACATTTGGGAACATTGATATGTAAAAAATCAATTTTTTTAATAAGTAGATTTTTATATGTTTTTCTTATGCCAATCGGAGGTTGTTATGATATGCATTTTTCAACAATTTTAACGAATTTGAATAATTTTTCATTCAAAACTTTCAATTTTAAAATAGTTTTGACAGTGCATTGTCCCAGTAGCTGTATCAATGCGATTACCTGTATTCTTTTACCATGAGAGCAACACCATGATACAATCACTTTCAGGTCATAGAAATCACTTATTCTTTATTATTATTATTATTATTATTATTATTATAATTATAATTATTATTATTATTTATTTATTTTTTATTATTCTCTTGTACCCTGCAACCCGAAAAATGTGATGTCAGGCTCGTGAATCGAATTTGGATGTTCAGAGCAAAGTGTGTATATATTGTTTAGAATAATAAACAAAATTATTATGAAAAATTTCAAATTATTTTTGTGTTGATATTTCAGGAAATATGCGGCGTTCAATCTTTTCAATTTTCTTTTAAACTAAAATATTGGGAAAATGCTTGAAATAAAAAAAAAAAACACATTGACACAATAGGAGGATTTAGAGAAGATAATTCTTAAATACAACTGTTTGTTCTTTTTGTGCCGTTATTCTGTCAAAATATATACACGGTTTTTAAAGGTGTGTGTATTTTTTTGAAAAAAAAAACCTTCAACTTTGAGGGCAATAAATTCTACAAGTTTTGAATAAAATAATACCGTCCCTCTATTTTGTATTCAATTTGGTTGAATAACTCTAACATTCCATTTAAGTTTTGTGGTTTTTCCCAAAATAAGAGTTTTGTAAAAAAAATATAATGTAAACAAAGCCAATTTTTGCACACTTTAAAAGTCTACTTAACACATGTTTCCTACCTCCTTCGAAGTGAAACTAGTTTTCTAGTGATTCCATAAAGTGATTCAAATAAAGTATTTTTTTCGCTCGTTGAGATTCCTACAATGAGTGTAGAAAAACGAACGTGAGAGAGAGCAACGCCTTCTCTTAATGACGTATGGTCTGTTCTAGAGCTGCAAGAATGGATTTTTACTGCAATAATCGATTTTTCCTTTATGATATCGGAAAAATGTAAAACTAATAGATTCTTGTAGGTTTTGGAAGAGAGCAATAGTTTAATGGCCGAACAACGAATAGAAAGCGAATCACGTACCGTATGAACCTAGTATGAGATGAAGTAAAATAACAGTCTGTTATCAAGTTGGAGTGAGTTGCAGAGCTGGAAATGCTTTCTTCTAACAAGGCTACCCATATAAATTTATATGAGATCTTTTGTTGATGCAAAATGGTTAGGCTTAGTCCCTTTATTGTTGTTTTAATAAAAAACAACGTTTGTTTATTAGTGGAGAACGATGGTAATGTTTACCAGGTCACTATATAACATGATACGGATTTGATTTATTTTTGATATAAATAATCGAAAGTGCTTCTTTTAAACAAAATTAAGGAATACGTTTTTATTTTATTTAAAATTCCGATCATTAGTTGTAAAGGTATTAGAAAATTGAAGTTGAATAAAAATATTGTACTGTCCGAACTTCGAAGACAGTTTTCAAAAAAATTTTTTTCAAAATTTTGACCCTTTGTTGGGGAGGTATCAGAAGGAATGGTCCGATCTCTACCGTTGTTATTACAGACCTTGTTTTAATAGAAATATTGAGATGTAACAAGTCTGAATGGAGTCGGATATTAATTTCGCGTTTTATGAGCTTCTTGGATATTCAAAATTTAAATCCTTTGTGGGGGAGGTACCAGATGGAATGGTCCGATCCCTACCATCTTCACAGTAGATCTTGTGTTAGTAGAAATAATGAAATGTGAAGAGAACCGGAGGCTTATTTTTAAATCTTGGAACCTTTAAAATCTTGAACCCTTTGTGGGGGTGGTACCAGAAGGAATGGTCCGACCTCTACCATCTTTATAACAGATTTTAAACTGATGTTGAGGTATTGAGATGTAACAAGTCTGAATGGATTCGGATGTTAATTTTGATCCTTTGCGGGCGAGGTACCAGAAGGACTCGACCGATATATCCCATCTTCACACCAGATCTTGGGTTTATAAAAATATTGTGTTATGTGTAATTTGAAGACAATCGGGCTCTTACACCCCGTTTTTAAGAGTTATTATTATTCAAAATTATGGGTCTCTATGGCGGGGGTACTTGATGTAGTGGATCGATATTATCAATTTTCGCACCTGACCTAACACTGATGCATATATCATGACCTTTTCGTAGGAAAGGTACCAGAAAGATCTAAGTTTGATAATAAAATTACGATGTACTAAGTTTGGACCAAATCGGATACTCCCTTCGAGAGTTATCGTTCGCACCAGCCAGCCAGACAGACAGACGGACGGACATCGCTAGATCGACTCCAAATGTCCTGAAACGGATTTGGCCCAAAGAGACCTAGGGTCTAAAGCCGTTATTTCGATGAGGCACTTTTTGGACGTATCAAATGATATATACCCTCTCTAGCCAAATGGCTGAGGGTATAAAAAGGAACTTGTGCTGGAAAATTGTTATTTTGGTAAGCCATCATTTTTCACCATATTTATAGGTTGAGGATAAACAGATTTTTATTAAAAATTCGGTTTTTAGTTCGGACGGACATTCGCGCAAATTCACAATTTATTTTTCCCATTTTGAAAGTCTTTTTCAATTTTTATTTAAAATAAAAAAAATTAGAAAAACTAAATAACTACGAAATACCAAAAACAACTCTACACTAGCCTCACTGTATTTTCGAATCACTGGCACTGCTGCCAAATTATTTCACATTCTCTCTAAGACTCTCTCTTTAAATATGACGCCAGGGGAAACAACAAAACACTAAATAATAATGCACATTGGCGTATATGTAATATCCAATGGGATATTATGTATACGCCGTAAGTGTTATTAAAATTTTAGCTTTCTCTCAATATTTTCGATTCAATATTTATTTGTTTTTTTTTTTTATTTTATTTTGTTTTTATTTTTTAATTTCGTTTTTTTTCTTTATTTTTTTCTTTTTTGATTTGATTTTTGAAATTATTTAGGTTGTCACTGCCATTCATCCACAAATCAAGACAATCGATCAATCACTCACATCCAATTTGACTGTGTGCATTCGGCACGATCATTAACACAAAAACCCAATAAAATTTTAACATAATTTTTGATTTTTATTTTTGTTATATTTTCTGTTATTTGTTTCTTTCTTTTTGTTGTTATTTTATTTTTTTTATTTATTTATTTTAGGTTTTCGTTTCGTTAAATTTAATTTGTTTTAGGTTTCGTTGATTTGCATTAGAATTTAAAAAATATATATTTTTTATTAATTTCAGTGGCTTAGGCTGAGCCCTAATTCGGGGTGCTGCACTTGCGATGCTGATCTAGAATTTGTTCACAAACTAATTTGAACACAATGCCTGGGAATAAAGTATATATAGGAAATTTCGTAACTCACACACAGACACAAATACAAAAAAAAAAAAAAAAAAAAAACGGGGCTCTGGTAGACCCCAAATGTTCTAGTTCACCTCCCCCGTGATGAGGGTGATCAAGAACTGATCCACATAGGTAAGCATTAAAAAGAAGTTTTTACTAATGACTGCTTTTGTATTGGGTTTCATTTCCCCACATTTGTTTTTGGGTGTATTGGTGTGACCACAATTGATAAGAGGAGCATAACTAAGTTCTCTAGATGGAATCAATTTCAAGTTGAACTAAAATAAACACAACACTAGTCTCGGCTGGTGGGGGGATAAGGGATGAGAGCTCTGTGTGCGTTTTTTTTTTTTGAACCTCTCTCACTTCTTGGAGAATTTCAGTTGCAGATTTACATTTAGCAGCAGCAGCAGCGGAGAGCGCAGCGGCACAACATCATTCCCTCTCTCTTCCTCACACATACACTTGGCGTTTAGAACAAAACTAGTACCGCACCATTCAAAGAATACCGACCGATCTACTATACTACGGACCGACCTGCTACTACTACTACTACTACCACTAACAACAACACGAAAACACTACCGCTAACCGCAAAAGTCGGAAGTTATCTAAACAGAATTATGGCGAGCAGACAACAGAACCCCCCATTAGCACCTGTAGAATGCGTTTATCCGCACACAGACATAATGGCTCACACAACAGCACACACACTCCCACGGAGCGAAGCAAATCAGCTAGGCCATGTGAAGAACTCCACTCTGTAGACATCCCTCCCATAAGCAGTTTCACAACTCACACACTCACAGGTTTTTATGGTAAAGCTTCGCCAAGCTTTGTAACTGAAAAAGGGAATTCTTAAAATGCTCTCCACCCAAACATGGGTGCAACAGCAGCACACACACTCTCTCTCAAAGAGACTAGAATTTATCGTAAACAAAACAATGAGTCTTTTATATTTTTTATTCTCTCCCGCTCTCCTAACATCAAGCACAACGGCATTAAAAAAATCACAAGTTTTTTTCAGCTACTATTCTGTGGAAATGTCAGTGAACGCCAAAAATTATTGCTCATTGCAAAAGCCCCCCTTCTTGTTGTTATTGTTGCTGCTGTCAAACTTTTCAACGGGTTTATTAACTTCTTCGATTTCATTTCCCCCTGTTCTATTTTATGACACCCCCTTCCCACCACAATAATTTATACGGGTTATTAGATCTCTTGCTGTGTGTCTGTCTCATCTTCATTTCAGCAAGTGCATAAACCACTTGTTGTTGTTGTTGTTTTGCAGAACTTATCGGAAATTGTAAACGTGACGATCGTTGTCAACACAAAAAGAAAAAACAAAAACTTCAATCAACTCTTACCAAACACTTCTTGTTTTGACATTGAATGTTGTTGCTTTGTTGTTGTTATTGTTACTACAACAAAAAGTAAACAAAAAAACGTTGTCATCGGTCGTTGATACCTGTTGTTGGGGGTTTTGTTTTGGTTTCGTTGTTCGCTCTCAATGGGAACATGTGCTCAAAAGGCAGAGATTCCCAAATGGGATTTTTTTTTTGGAGCGGAAATATTTTTTTTGTGGGAAAAATAAAAAACTGTGGGTGAATTGGAGAAACTATTAAAAAATATTATTAATATTATTATTATTATTATTATTATTATTATTATTATTATTATTATTATATTATTATTATTATTATTATTATATTATTATTATTATTATTATTATTATTATTATTATTATTATTATTATTATTTATTATTATTATTATTATTATTATTATTATTATTATTATTATTATTATTATTATTATATTATTATTATTATTATTATTATTATTATTATTATTATTATTATTATTATTATTATTATTATTATTATTATTATTATTATTATTATTATTATTATTATTATTATTATTATTATTATTATTATTATTATTATTATTATTATTATTATTATTATTATTATTATTATTATTATTATTATTATTATTATTTGATTATTATTATGATTATTATTATTCTATTATTATTATTATTCATATTATTATTATTATTAGTATTATTATTAAATTAATATTAGTGATTATTATTATATTATTATTGTTATTAATATATTATTAATTATTATTATTATTTTATTATTATTAATTAATTATTATTATTATTAGATTATTATATTATTATTATTATTATTATTATTAATTATTTATTATTATTATTATTATTATTATTATTATATTATTATTATTACTATATTATTATTATTAGTGTTAGTATTATTATTATTACTTATTAGTATTATTATTATTATTATTGTTTATTATTATTACTTATTATTATTATTAATTATTTAGTATTAGTATTATTATTATGATATTATTATTATTATTATTATTATACATTATTAATTATTATTATTATTAGTATTATTATTATTATTACTTATTATGATTATATTATTATTTATTATGATTATTATTAGTATTATTATTATATTATTATTATATATTATTATTATTATTATTATTATTATTATTATTATTATTATTATTATTATTATTATTATTATATTATTATTATTATTATTATTATTATTATTACTATTATTGTTATTACCCTTTCAACCATTATTTGTACTTACACTGGGTGACAAAATTATTTTTTATCAATAATCACCAGAAAAGTTATGTAGACTATGAAAGTAAATCTATAAATAGAAGACACATGTTTTTCAGGATTTTGAAAGTCTACTTCGCAAAGCAACCTAAACAGATGGAGGTAAGTTTCCCACTCTTTAACATTTTTTTTTTTTTTGAAAATTTCGGATTTCTTTGAAATCCTTTCATTTGAGGCATATAGTCACAATATTACTGCTAGCAATACCAGGTTTTTCGTCAAAAATCTTGATCCTCAAGTAATTTTTGGATTTTTTTAATCGATTAAAACTTCCTTTTAACTTCGAAATAGTTCACAAAATTATTTCATAGAAGCTTTAAAGGTGAGAATACAATAAAACACTAAGTCATCGGCTGGCTTCTTTGTAGAGGCACAAAGGAGTTTTAGGTTGGCTTAGTTCGATTTTGGCCCTACATTTCATTTCTGAAGAAGACTTAAGCCAGCCAAAAAGCCTTTTATATATTCTCACCTTTAGTTCAATATTGAAGACTACAAATTTATTCAAAAAATCGCAACAATAATAATAGGAAATCATTTAGATATCCATAAATAAGCATTTCTCCTATAAAAATGCAAATGTTTTAGCCCTGCTTTACACCGGCCTAATTTATGTGTTTTACGCAGTTTATTATTATTATTTTTTTTAAATTAATAATCTAAACGACGCGTTTTGTGAAAACTATTTTTATATTTATCCACTCCTCAAATATCATCTATGACTCATCACTCGCCATGGGAAAAAATTCCACTATTTGAGAACCTCTGCCACCATTGAGCCCCCTCCCAAACTAACCAAAAAAACAACGAAACTTAACTACGTAACAATTCAATTGGCACGTATGCGTCCTATGAACGAACGACCTTCACATTGAAGTGAATATGAAATTGTACACTGACGTTGTGGTGCGGCGGTACTTCTTTTATTCAACAACCCTTCCGAAAAAAAAACTCATTTGAATATCACAACATAAAATAAAAATAATGCGATATTATGACATGATATGACGACTCTGGTTCGACAAAAAGTCAATGCACTTTTTTTTTGTTGTTTGAATCATGTGTTTTTGTGTATTAATGAATACCCTACATGTGGTCATACGGGAGAAAGAGTCAATTTGTCTTTAAAACTTCAAAGAAGGTTTTTTGTTAATTTTTCTATATTTTCCATGATTTTACATTATAAATTAATGAAAGGTAGTAAAAACTGCTATTTGATTACAAAATTAAAAGATAAATGCGCTTAATTGTTCAATTATCAAGGATCCAACAACGAGCTTAAGAGACAGTAACGCAAGCGTACTGTTAATGGTGTAGCTTTCAACTCTTCTTCTTCCTGGACAATTAACCATTTTTGATAGCCCGGCGATTTTTTTGTGAAATTCAGTTTATTTTGATTATTTGTTGCCTTGAAAAATTAGACGACTGCTTTCAAGTTTTTGTTATTATTTTTTACATTTTTTTACAAAAGAGAAGAATAAACATATGGTAAATGTAAATAATTTCAATGTTCCAACAGCGAGCGTGAGAGAGCAAACGTAAGAGACCGCAACGTAAACGTACTGTTAATGGTGTAACTTTCAACTCTTCTTCTTCCTAGACAATCAACCATTTTTGATTACCCGTTGAATTATTTTTGTGCAATTCAACATAATTCAATTATTTTTGCGATCGCAAGCCTAATTGACATATTTGTTTGGGATAAGAAAAATGCAAAAGTGAAAAGGTTTTCCTTTTTTGCTGTTTTTCTTTTAATATAACATATGTGGGTGCTTTGTTTCTTCTTATGGCGAACAAATTGTGTTGCTTTAACAAACCAAACGACTGCTTTCAAGTTGTTGTTGGTATACTTTCTGTATATTTTTCACAGTTTTATTAAAAAAGAGAAAACGGAGAACAGGAAAGAGAAGAAAAAAAAAAAAAAACAAACGATTAATACGAATAACACAAGTGTTCAGGGACGAGCGTAAGAGAACAAACATAAAAGACAGCAAAGCAAACGTACTGTTAACGTTGTAATGATTTGCAACTCTTCTTCTTCCTGTACAATCAACTAGTTTTGATAACCCGGTGATTTATTTTTGTGCAATTCAATTTAATTCGATTGTTTTTGTGATCGCAAGCCTAATTTACTGATTCTTTTGGGATAAGAAAAATGCAAAAGCGAAAAGGGTTTCCGTTTTTGCTTATTTTCTTTTAATATAACATTTGTGTGTGCTTTGTTTCTTTTTAAGGCAGACAAATTGTGTTGCTTTAACAAACCAAACGACTGCTTTCAAGTTTTTGTTGGGATGCTTTCTGTTCACTTTTTACAGTTTTCCTTCAAACTAGAAAACGGAGAACAGGAAAGAGAAGAAAAAAAAAACAAAGGATTAATACGAATAACTACAAGTGTTCAGGATCGAGCGTAAGAGAACAAACATAAAAGACAGCAAAACAAACGTACTGTTAATGTTGTAATGATTTGCAACTCTTCTTCTTCTTTCTGGACAATCAACTATGCTTGATAACCCCGTGGCTCCAACAGCGAGCGTGAGGGAGCAAACGTAAGAGACAGCAAAGTAATTGTACTGTTATCGGTGTAATCACTTGCAACTCTTCTTCTTCCTGTACAATCAACTAGTTTTGACAACCCGGTGATTTATTTTTTTGCAATTCAGTTTAATTTTATTTTTGCGATCGCAAGCCTAGTTGACTGATTTGTTTAGGATAAGAAAAATGCAAATGGATAAAGTTCTTCCTTGTTTGCTGATTTTCTTTTAATATAACATTTTATAACATGGTTTGTATCTTTTTATGGCGGACAAATTTTGTTGCTTTAACAAACCAAATGACTGCTATCAAGTTTTTGTTGGGATGCTTTCTATTTACTTTTTACAGATTTCTTACAAAAGTGAACAAGGAGAACAGGAAAGAGAAGAAAAAAACAAAAGATAAATGCGAATAATTGCAAGTGTCTAGCAACGAGCGTAAGAGAACAAACATAAAAGACAGCAAAGCAAACGTACTGTTAAAGTTGTAATGATTTGCAACTCTTCCTCTTTCTGTACAATCAATTATGTTTGATAACCCGGCGATTTATTTTTGTGCAATTCAATTCATTTCGATTATTTTTTCGAAAATTGTTCTTCTGTGTCTTATTTTCTTCTTGGTTTTTAATAAAATATATATTGTTGTGTGCTTGGAATCTTCTTATGGCGGATAAACAATTTTGCATTGACAAACCAGCCGACTGCTTTCAAGTTTTTACAAGGAAGCTATCTGTTTACTTTTTACAATCATTTCAAACTCTTCTTCTTCCTGTGCAATCAACTATTTTTGATATCCCGGTTTTCCAGCAATTTAATTCAATTGGATTGTTTTTGCGATCGCAAGCCTTTTTGGAAAACAAAGTTGTAAAAAAAAGTTTCTTTTGTGTCTTATTTTCTTTTTGGCCTAATTGCTTGGTTCTTCTTGGAAAACAAAGTTGTAAAATAGAAAAATTTTCTTTTGTGTCTTATTTTCTTTTTGGCTTTTAAGGAAATATAAATGTGTGCGTGTTTCTTTTGGCAGACATATTGTGTTGCTTTGAAAAACTATGTTACGTATTCCTGATTGGCGGCGTTAAAAGTGACCCTCCGGCTGCTAGCGGTCTCGGGGTCTGGTTCTCAACCGTCACTTTGTAACACCTCAGGACGAACACGAAATTGGAACTTTACACATCACAAATACAATACACTACACAAACACAACACCTGCTCAGACAAGGGAGAGTTGATGTTTCTACTCCCGCATTCGCCCACCCTTCCATGGTCTTCAGGGTTCCTTTTTAAAGTAATTTTTTGAAGACCCCACACACACTCACCTCTTTACCTAGTTAGAAAATTGCCCTATTAACAAAAATTTAACACATAGTTTATTTTTAGTCTAATTCTAATCACAACATTATTTATTGACAGAAAGGACTTACAGCTAAATACAGATAAATTTTGTCGATCTTTAAAACGGACAATCTAACACCAGATTAAAAAAAAATTGTAAACATATGAAAAATAGCAAATTTTCCTTGTGAGAAACCTAGGGAATTTTGTCTGCACTTTTCAGACCTCAAATTCTAAACAAAATATTACCTACTGTAAAGGAGCTCTCTTACAACGGCCTCACTAGCCAAAATTGGCTCGAATTGAAACATACGACTACACCCTCTAGCTTTCCCTGGATATTGCTCATATAGTACTGGGTGAAATTTAAAGGAAACTGGCGTTAAACATCCTTACATTAAAACATTAAGAGAGGACATCACAACACATACTTATACTATTCAATTAAATTTGCAATATGTTTATATTAAAATAATTTGCATGTCTATCAATATTTTCCTATCGTTACTTAAATTAATTTTTTTTTTGTTTTTTTTTTTTTTTATTATTATGATTTTTTTTCAAATAAATTTTCTTAATTTTTCGATTTCTCTTTCTTTTTTAGTTGCAATTCCCTGGATATTCTTCCGTGCTCCAAAACATGGATAAAGAAAAAGGGTGTCTATTACCTGGTCATTAATTACGTGGCAAAATATTAATTTTTATGCCATAGGAGATGACAACTTGCGATCAAAAAAAAATCTCCAACTTGTGGCCATCCGATCAATTTTGACCCAAATTCCGCTGCCTCAGATACGGACACCAAACAGAAGTATGACACCAAACAGGGAGACCTTCAAATTCAACGGCCAATTTAAACCCAAGGACCGGGCATTTAACACCAGATCCCCACTCAGCAGTCAGTGGAGACCAAAAAAAATATTGTGATTTTGGGGAACCTTTATATAAAAAAAATACAAAAATAAAAATGTTGTTTGCTTTCCCACTGTCACTAGTATGATGTTCTCACTTTTTGTTAACAAGTAAACACACATATAAATATTCACTTTTTTTTTTAGTGTTAAAAACTACTTTGGACCGTCTTCTTGCTTAGATCTTTTGCAACACTATGTTGCCAATTTTCCTATTTTCCTCCTTTTTATAGTCGCTTCATTTTGCCACCATTTTTCCTCAAATTTCCAATATTTATTATGGACCTTATTGATGGCGATAGGGTAGCTACGAAATGGCTACTCAGCCATGGTTGTATAAATCCGTAGCCAAATAACGATTGAACGATCCCTATTCTTTTATAATGGCAACGCCATCCATTTCCTTCTTGTCATTTTCTTTTTCATTTCGCCTGATGCGCAACAGCATCTAACTTTAAAATTTTATTTTTCTGAATCGGGTCTCTGAGCTATTTCTCTTTTCAAAGAAATAGCTACTGGGGTAAGTAAACAAATGGCATATTTTAAAAACAATGTAAAAACTATTTACATTGAATTTTCCAGGTAAGCCATGTAGCCTACACGCCCCCTGATGGCCCACCCGACGCAACAAAACTTCGACCCTTTGCTGAGTTAATTTTGCAAAGGTCGATGTGCGGAAGGTTTTATTATTCCACGTGGGGAACTCCCACAGCCCTGAAGTCTCATGGCCGGGCATTTCTGGAACTTCAATGGTAAGCATACCCTTTTGGAACCGTGAGATTTGTTCAACGGTACTTTGTGTGGCGTCATTTTTTTAATGTATGCACACATATACATGTATGCGTTATGGTACGACCCGTCGCCCCATACGTTTATGCGTATATAGCAAGGTGGCAACCTTAGTTTCTACAATGTTATCCATTCACGCTGAATGAAATGTTGATGAATGGAAATAAGAAGAAGACTGTTTTTATTTCTCTTCTTTATTCATACAGACGTGTTTGCCGACATAATTGAAAAATTCCAGATTACACCTGAATTATTTGGAGAATTTTTTTGATTTGAAGCACCCGAACAATATTTAAGGAGACTGTGAGTATAATTTATATATTTTTATTTATATCTACCCCTATATTAATGCATATTTTTTTAGGTTACTCGGTTCGACTGGGATATGAGTAAAGTTCCTCAACATGGATTTCTTCAGTGTCATTTGGCAGAATTTGTAGTGTGCAGAAAGTGAAATGCGTACGTTCTACCAAACTTGTGTGGTTATTGTTTGGCCGTGAGTGAGCTGTGGTGATTCCTTTTTAATTTTTGGGTAAAATCCCCATTTGGGCTACACCAACCATCATTGAATGGTGTATGGTGTATTCAATGATTTTATTCAGCCCTCCAACCACTACGTACTCCTTTGGGTTTATGAAATTGTAAGTTAAACCTTTACTGTTTATAAATGCCGTAGTAATTTTACTTTTTTTTTTTTTTCAGATACTGCTGAGTCGTGGGTCATATTATTGTTATTGTCCGGTCATTAAAAATTAGTTATACTGCGCTTACTTATTTTTGAACAAATTCCTGCCTAACATGAACTTGTTTTGCTCCAAATCTTTCGGAATTGTGTGTTTATATGGATAAAAGCATGGTATTCGTAAAATAGAAAACTAACTATCGCGCAATAAAGCGTCTGTCCCTGGTGTAAGTGGAAAACCGTGAGTATATTTATTACTTTTTTTTGCTTTACAAAAAAAAAACATTGTCTAATTTTTGTGTACATATTGCAGACGTCCCAGAACAAAACATGAGGTGGCTAATATGGGATCAATCTGCGGTGGAAGTGTTGATTTTATAATTATTTTTCCCCCATCGAAATTTTATCCATGTGAAGGAGTTATTTTACCATGATATGTACAGGTGAGTGATACATTTCTGAAATTGTTTTTAGGCAGTTTAACTTGTTAGGAGTTAGGAGGTGATTTTTTTAGCCTTTTTATATAAAAACAGAGATGTTTTTATTGGCCTAATAAATATACAAAATAATGTTCAAAGTGTTTTAAATCTCTTGAGATTTATATTAATATTTTCGCTTTTGGATCGAATAGATGTTCAATGTTCAAAATTGAGTCTTTCAAAGCAAAATTTGTACCATGCTACCACAATTCTTGTCCAAATAATGGGCACAAAAGTGAATAGAATTTAGCTGAGTTTATTAGGTTCTTATTTAAGATACTTCCACAATAATTTAATTTATGGTAACTTAACTTTATCTGCCTGACGAAATTATTGGTGATGTGTTTTTTTGTTACGTTTGTTTATCAATAAGACAATATATACAATATTGACACCAACACATCACGTTTTACAAACTGGAAAATCACCAGTATAAATTTTAATAACCGGCGAAACATAATGTCATTTCCTCAAAATGGGTCAACAGGAAAATATTTCAGTTTTATACGAAATTTGGGATATTAAGTTTTACGTTTTTAATAATGGGGCTAAGTTACATTTTATCATGACATTCGTCTTCACCCTTTATATGGATACTCTGTTTTTTTATTAACGATAGTGGTCGAAGCTATTACGTGATCAAAACCTAACTAGGATATCTACCACTTTGGCCTAAATTCCCTAGGTTCGCGATGGCATAGTTCCGACCTGCCCCTATGATGGGAAACCATTTATGTGGTTAGATTTCAGCTACATGGTTTTTGGCCGTAGCTCAGTTAGCCACTTTGACCACCTATATTGTTTCGACTTTATCTTAATCAAAAAACAATTTCGCCATTAAGCTCTACATCTTCAGATCCTTCACGTGGCAGGTTCCTAAAGGCTTTCCCTGCATATCTTCTATTTCATACATATTGCTACCAATCGGTTTGACTATTCTGCACTTTAGGTACTTGCGACAAAATTTGGCGTTTATATTTTTCCCAAAATCGCTCAATATATGATTTTTCCTGTAGGCCTCCTGTCCGGGAATGAATTTAACTATTCGGGCCCTTTGATTGTAGCGTCTCGCACTCCGCTCGTAGGCCTCGTGTAGGTTTTTCTCAATTTTGTCCCTGATTATTTCCAACCGTTCTTTTCTGCCTAATTCATTTATCTGATGATCGCATAAAGATTGTAGTTTGCGGGCTAGCTTGTAGTCACTGCCGGACGTGTACATCTCGTAACCAAATAATGCAAAGAACGGAGTTACCCCCGTTGAAGAGTGGATTGATGATCGTAAAGCACATTCGATTTCTGTTAAATATGTGTCCCATTCCCTATGATCTTCGTTCAAATATGCCCGGATTGCAGCCAATACAGATTGGTTTACCCTCTCTGAGGCGTTAGATTGTGGTGAATACGGTGCCGTTTGCATATGGTTGATTTTAAAGGTTTCGATCATTTCTCTGAAACCCTTAGCAGTAAACTGCGCTCCATTGTCCGTGTGAATCGTTTCTGGAACTCCAAACTTTCTGAAGATTTCTTGTACAAGAAATTGGACTACATTTGAGGTGGTTGCTTCTCTCATGGCTTTTAGAAATACGAATTTGGAAAAATGATCGACAACTATAAAAATATAGCTGTTACCACCTTTCGAACGAGGATACTTTCCTAAAAAGTCCATATATAATTTTTGGAATGGACGTTCAGTAACGACCTCACATCCTATAGTAGGTTGCATATTTCTATTTAGGGGTTTTGTCTCCTTACATGTCCTACAGTTCACAACAAATGCCCTTACTTGTGATGCCATTTTTGGCCAATAATAAAATCGTTGTAGACGATGCAATGTTTTTGTTATTCCCCCGTGAGCAGAGGTCACTTCATTATGTGCCTTTTCTATCAAAAGATATGTTAGGGATTCGGGAATCCATAATTTCCACGGCATTTCCTCAAAATCTAAATCATTTTCTGTTTTGGTACGCTTGAAAATAAGTCCATTCTCAATTTTCAGATCAGGTAATTTGGCTGTATTTTTTTCGATATCACCGATCAAGTCTTTGTATTCCTGACTTTCGAACTCGGCTGTTTCAAAGTCGAAAAGATCGTCCACAATTTCGACATCTTCTACAACTTCCAAGCGTGACAACATGTCTGCCACTACGTTGTCTTTTCCTTTTCGATGTTCAATATTGAAGTTGTATCCCTGTAACTGCAGGGACCATCGAGCTAATCTACCACTAAGGTCTTTCACCCCCATGAGCCATTTCAGGCTGGCATGGTCCGTTATGACCGTAAATTTCATCATTTCCACATAGGGTCTGAATCTTTTTACTGCCATAACGGCCGCCAAGCATTCTTTCTCTGTCACACTATAGTTTTTTTGGCAATCATTCAACTTTTGGGAGTAGAAGGCTATAGGGTATTCCTCATCATGGTCTCCCTTCTGGAATAATACGGCCCCTATTCCGTATTCCGATGCATCACATTGGATATAAAATTGTTTGGAGAAATCCGGATGTTTTAACACCGGGGCCGTTGTCAAGGCATTCTTCAACTCCTCAAATGCATCTATGGCGTTCTTGGTCATCAAGAATTTTGGTCCTTTTTTGAGTGTATCTGTTAAAGGCGCAGATATGCTGGCAAAATTTTTAATAAATCTGCGGTACCACCCCGCTGTTCCCAAAAAACTTCTTACATCTCGTGGACATTTTGGCACTTTCAAGTTTTTAATGGCCATTACCTTTTCAGGATCCGTTTTTAATACACCCCCTCCAATTACAAAGCCTAGATATTTTAGTTCTTTAAAACAGAATTTGCTCTTTTTAAGTCCTATCGTGAGGTTGGCTTTTCTTAAACAGTCGGCAACTTGATCTAATAGTTTTAAATGTGTTTCGAAATCCTCTGAAATAACTAACAAATCGTCTAAATAAATAAAGACATTGGATTTTAGACGAGACGGAATAACTTTATCCATCAATCGACAAAGACGCTGCGCCGCATTACATAGCCCGAAAGGCATCATTCTAAATTGATAGAGCGGACGTCCTGGGACAGTAAAGGCAGTGTATGGTCTTGACTCTTTATCCAGCTCTATCTGCCAAAAGGCATGTTTTAAATCAACACTACTAATAAAAACAGTTTGATCTATACGGCTCAAAATTCCATCAATATTTTGAAGCGGATACGCGTCTTTCATCGTTACAGCATTTAATTTCCGCGCGTCTAAACAGAAACGATTCTTTCCTGGTTTCCGCACTATCGTAATTCGCTTATTCCACGCACTATTGCTCTCTTCAATGACGTTTAGTTCCAACATTTTATCTATTTCTTGGTAAACTATTTCTTGCACCGCTGGGGAAATGGGGTAATGTCTATCTTTAATAGGATTTGTTCCCTCAACAAGTTTGATTGAATGTTTTTCCAGCGTTGTATGCCCTAGACCCATTTTCTCAAAAGAAGGGAATGATTCCACAGTCTTTTGCAACCGTTCTTTTTGATCATTTGTAAGGTTATGCATTTCTCTCGGATAATCGTTCTCCTCCACGAATTTGTTTTGGATTTTCTCTATGTCTATGACATTGACTGACACTATATCAGGGGCTAAATTAAAAGCTTTCCAAAAATCAATTCCTAAATATAAAGGCTGTTCTAGGTCTGGACACATGTAGAAACTTATCTCTCTTTCGATATCTTTGTATTGGACTTTTACTCTTATCTTTCCTAACACTCGATGTAATTGGCCTGAAGCGGTTCTAACATTGGTATAATAAAAATCTGGTTCCATTTTTAACTTGTCTACTAACTCTCTACATCCTTTACCGAGAACCGAAACTGTGGCTCCAGAGTCCAGCAGTCCTTTTAGTTCTTGACCTTCAATAGTTATGGTGGCGTAAGGCCTTTGATCAGATGTTTCATTGTATTTTCTCACCGATTCAATAAGCATTTTTTTAATCATTTTGTTTTCTTTTTTTCTCTGTCGGAGCTTCAGGATTCTATCTAACTTTTTTGGATTTTGGGCTTTCTTAGGAACTACTATCACTTTTTCATCATCTTTGGTGACTTCTGTTTCAGTCAATCCCTCACAATTTTTTTCCTCCTCAAAGATGTGTCTTCTTATAATTTCATAGTTCGCTTTTCGAACTTCTATTGGTAGGTAATGCCGAATGGACGGATAATTAAGTTGCTCTAAGCATTTTGTTGTTGTTTGGATGTTACGGGTCTGTCTGTCGAACACGATGTTCCCGCTGACACTGTGTTCCTTTTCCCGTTTTCCGATTGGCACCTCGGACACTTTGGTGCGACGGTGTTCGGTTGGCCACATCTGTAGCAGAATAGTGATCTTTGTGCCGACAAACAATCCATAAACCGATGTCCTGGCCTACGACAGTTCCAACAAATTTGTTCCCCTTGGATCTCAGACACTTCTGGCATGGTTTCATTTACATAGTAATTATCCTCGCATGTTTGCAACTCGTGTACTCTAACATTTTGGTATGGAGGTGGAGGCATATACCTCACATCTCGCTTGTTGCAAGTTTTTTCAGCTCTTATGCATTCCATCCTGAGTTCTTCCATTGAATGTATGCTCATGGGATAAATCATTCTAAATATTTCACCTTTCAAATTTCTCTTAACAATCTGGATGATTTCTCTCTCAGATATTGGCTGGCTTAACTTCGACCTCAAGGTATTTATGACTTGAAAAAAATTATCTAAGCTTTCCCCTGGCTTTATCTTCCTTTCTACAATTTCGCTCATGACATCAAAGTTTGACCTAGTGGTGCTATATCTCCTGAACAGGGCGTCTTTCAACGAAGACCAATCTCGCACTACGCCAGTTTTAATTTGTAGCCAGTACCATTCATACGCTCCACCTGACAACAAACTCTGGAATTCAGCAAAAATGTCTTCCCAAGATACTTTGTATTGGTTCTTCAAATACTCTAATCTAAAAACGAAATCTTCTACAGAAATTCCAGAAGGATTACCATCAAACTTCAGTTTAAACTTCTCCACTTTGCTAGGCCTCTCCAAATTGGGGCCGGGAGGAAATAACATCATGTTAGATGATGGTATCTCTGGAGGTCTGTTATTTAGAAATAGTGGTGGAGGAGCGGTAAAATCGCGATGTATGTTACTAGGTTGAAAAATGGTTTGATTAGTTGCACTAGCAGTATCGGTTATGTTCTTAACCATATCCCCTAACTTTCCAATAGCTTCATAAACCTTTTTTAATTCACCTCCTACACATTCTTGAATTAAAGGCCTTAGATTTAGTTGAACATTTGCAACATTCTCATTTGCCATTTGCCTTAACATATTCTCATCAGGGTTGCCGTTTACATTATTGTTTATCTGTTGAGGATCTGTTGGGTTTCTATTTGACACTCCATTATTTGGTTGAGGATTGGAATTTATGCTTTGAGACATGTCAATAATCGACTGATCTCCCGTAGACGGTGGATTAACCATTTTGCCACTATTTGCTTTTTTCCTATGTTTTGGAACAGATTGAAAATAGTTTCTGCTAATGTCAAAGGAAGCTGTACGATTTCGCTTACTTCGACGTGTAGCTTCAGAGTCAATTTCATCAGTCATTGGCAAAAAAAGCCTGTGTTTCGACCAATGTTTGATGAAAATAAATAGGTTTGTCCGATTTATAAATAAGATCTGTCAAAACTGATTATACATATAAATCCGTCACAACACTAATATTTAAAAAAAAAATATATAAAAAAAATAAAAAATATAAAAATTATAAAAAAATATAAATATTAAATATAAGTAATTAAAATAATTATATAAAAAAATAAAAATCAATATAAAAAAATAACCAAAACAAAATTTAAAAATAAATATAAAAATGACGACACAATTCAAACAGCATACAAAAATTAAGACAGCACAATTTTTTAATATTTCAATAAATACTATATAGGGATTTTCATTTTAGGTTATTTCATAGAGGTGTGTGTTTTATATTTCTTTTATAAAAATGCCCTTTCGGTTATCCAAGCAGGTTCAGAACAAATACCATTACGAAAAATGTTTTTTCTTTGTTTTTAACTTTATCTTTTTTATTTAGAACTTTTGATCCCTTTTTTCACGGCATTTTCTTGTTATAACCATCAAGAAAAAGATCTCGTAAAATAGGAGAGCAACTGTCACCTGATAATTCATATATCGGTGAATATTGCACATTTCCCAGAAATCAAAAATCCTACCTATTTCAGCTACGTTAATAAGTTTACACAAACAACACTAAACAGGTCATTTACAATACATACATTGTTACACTCACGACGAACAAGCTATTGCACTGACCGATTATTGTTATGGAAGTAATATCCTAAATATACTAATTCCTAAAACTAATATTGCACTTGCATATTTTCAAAGAAAATATGGATCAATATCAGCAAGGCTGAAGAATATTGCGATATAACTTATGTCTATTTTTTTCCTATGGTCTATATCAAGGTGGTTAGATGTTATTGCACCGATTACTGAGTTTTTGGGTTCGACAGAACCTTATTTTTTTAATAATTTGGGCGCCATCTGTTACGTATTCCTGATTGGCGGCGTTAAAAGTGACCCTCCGGCTGCTAGCGGTCTCGGGGTCTGGTTCTCAACCGTCACTTTGTAACACCTCAGGACGAACACGAAATTGGAACTTTACACATCACAAATACAATACACTACACAAACACAACACCTGCTCAGACAAGGGAGAGTTGATGTTTCTACTCCCGCATTCGCCCACCCTTCCATGGTCTTCAGGGTTCCTTTTTAAAGTAATTTTTTGAAGACCCCACACACACTCACCTCTTTACCTAGTTAGAAAATTGCCCTATTAACAAAAATTTAACACATAGTTTATTTTTAGTCTAATTCTAATCACAACATTATTTATTGACAGAAAGGACTTACAGCTAAATACAGATAAATTTTGTCGATCTTTAAAACGGACAATCTAACACCAGATTAAAAAAAAATTGTAAACATATGAAAAATAGCAAATTTTCCTTGTGAGAAACCTAGGGAATTTTGTCTGCACTTTTCAGACCTCAAATTCTAAACAAAATATTACCTACTGTAAAGGAGCTCTCTTACAACGGCCTCACTAGCCAAAATTGGCTCGAATTGAAACATACGACTACACCCTCTAGCTTTCCCTGGATATTGCTCATATAGTACTGGGTGAAATTTAAAGGAAACTGGCGTTAAACATCCTTACATTAAAACATTAAGAGAGGACATCACAACACATACTTATACTATTCAATTAAATTTGCAATATGTTTATATTAAAATAATTTGCATGTCTATCAATATTTTCCTATCGTTACTTAAATTAATTTTTTTTTTTGTTTTTTTTTTTTTTTATTATTATGATTTTTTTTCAAATAAATTTTCTTAATTTTTCGATTTCTCTTTCTTTTTTAGTTGCAATTCCCTGGATATTCTTCCGTGCTCCAAAACATGGATAAAGAAAAAGGGTGTCTATTACCTGGTCATTAATTACGTGGCAAAATATTAATTTTTATGCCATAGGAGATGACAACTTGCGATCAAAAAAAAATCTCCAACTTGTGGCCATCCGATCAATTTTGACCCAAATTCCGCTGCCTCAGATACGGACACCAAACAGAAGTATGACACCAAACAGGGAGACCTTCAAATTCAACGGCCAATTTAAACCCAAGGACCGGGCATTTAACACCAGATCCCCACTCAGCAGTCAGTGGAGACCAAAAAAAATATTGTGATTTTGGGGAACCTTTATATAAAAAAAATACAAAAATAAAAATGTTGTTTGCTTTCCCACTGTCACTAGTATGATGTTCTCACTTTTTGTTAACAAGTAAACACACATATAAATATTCACTTTTTTTTTTAGTGTTAAAAACTACTTTGGACCGTCTTCTTGCTTAGATCTTTTGCAACACTATGTTGCCAATTTTCCTATTTTCCTCCTTTTTATAGTCGCTTCATTTTGCCACCATTTTTCCTCAAATTTCCAATATTTATTATGGACCTTATTGATGGCGATAGGGTAGCTACGAAATGGCTACTCAGCCATGGTTGTATAAATCCGTAGCCAAATAACGATTGAACGATCCCTATTCTTTTATAATGGCAACGCCATCCATTTCCTTCTTGTCATTTTCTTTTTCATTTCGCCTGATGCGCAACAGCATCTAACTTTAAAATTTTATTTTTCTGAATCGGGTCTCTGAGCTATTTCTCTTTTCAAAGAAATAGCTACTGGGGTAAGTAAACAAATGGCATATTTTAAAAACAATGTAAAAACTATTTACATTGAATTTTCCAGGTAAGCCATGTAGCCTACACGCCCCCTGATGGCCCACCCGACGCAACAACTAGACGATTGCTTTCAAGTTTTTGCAGGGATGCTGTCTCCTTATTATTTACAGTTTTTTTTTTTAACAAAAGAGAAGAAAAAATAAATGCGAATAATTTCAAGGGTCCAACAACGAGAGCAAACTTTCTTCTAATTCCTATCACTTCCAATTCTTCTTCTTCCTGTACAATCAAATATTTTTGATAACCCAGGTGGTCTATTGAATTATTTTTGCTATCACAGGATTAATTGCTCGTTGTTTATTTGGGAGAATAAATTTGGAAAAGTAAAAAAGTCTTTCTTTTTGGTTTACGTTCCTTTTAATAAAATGAAAAAAAAAATATTTATCTTTCAGTAGGGCTAACATAATATCTTCAACTACCAACAAAATTAGCAAAAACATATTCCGAGCAATAACCCGGGCAATTCATTAACCGGTAATAGACAAAACAAAGACAAACAATGGTCTAAGAAAAAAAAAAAATGATTCCAATAGTGAATTGTTTGATATCTGCTGACATGTGTATAGAAAATTGAATTTTAAACAGTTTATTGACACTTGACTTCTATGGAATCGAGTTCAAATGATGGCGTGCACAAAAAAAAAATGCTTTGCAAATTTATTGTAGGTGTTAAAATTATTTGCGTTTTTTGCTGTTTCTGGCTAGGGGAAGTGTGAATTTGAATATTAAAATACAATTTTGGCCAGCGGAATGATCTATGATTTGTCATCACCATCGGCGGCAACGTCAACGACACTACTAACCAGTATTGCTATGGGTTTGGGCGGTGCGAGTCGTTTGATCACTTTCGGTTTCGCAGGCAGTCAATGAACCCATTATGTCTTTGTTTTTCAAATTTATTTGTTTTGTGTTAATTTGCAAATGAAAACAAAAGTTCAATTTGTTTTGTATTTTTTTTCGTGGGAGATTTATTGGTTTAAATAATTGCTATTTTGTTGTTGTAGCTTTTGTTTTCTAATCTTAATGTATTTATAGAAACAAGATTTTCAATTATTTGAAAAATAAAATAATAAAATCCATTAATAAAACAATCAATAATCAATAATTGTTAAAGCATCTCAATCTTGTCTTGTCAAGTGTCACTTTTTTGACACTTCCAATTGGTTTCGTTGCTGGTCTTTGTCCACTTATGACATTTGCTTCCTTATTGTGTGTGTGTTTTTGGTGAACTTTGCACAGATTTATAACTTATTTGGAATTAATAATAAAAATTAAGATTTCAATCTGGTTTCCAATGGAAATATTTCAAATCAATTTAAATGAGAGTTATTTTGTTGTTGTTTTCGAACAGATTTGTGACTAATAGTTTTTTAATGGTTACTTAATAACCTAATGGACTGCAAAGGAATTTTGACTTCTGGGTTAGTGTTTGAGTAAATGATGGAAATGGGTTAATGGGAAATTTTGAGGAATAAAAATTTACTATTTTTTTTAATTTAAAGGTTCTGTGGCTAAATAAATTTGAAAAAGGGTCTCTGAAAAAGAAAATTAAAAACATTGTCAACATTTAATGTTTGAATGTTCCGAATATGTCCTCTTTGATTAATAATTGGAAATACATTGAAAACTAGTCTATATCCTATATAGGGGTTCATTCAGCTGACTTTGAATGCCAGTAGAAAAAGCTAATTTTATTACCGTTCTGTTACAATGGAAATGTTTTTCAATCGGAATATGTTAATAATCAACAATAAAAAAGCAAACATTTCCGTTGCAGGTATTTGTTTAAACAAATGTCATTGCTTGCATACACATGTGTTACAAAGCAACAAAGAGCGTAAGAGAATTTTGTGGTAAGAGCGTAAGACACCGCAATGCATACGTACGTTGAACTCTTCTTCTTCCTTCTGTGCCAATCACCTGCTGTTGCTAATTCCTTGATTTATTTTGATGCTATCAATTCGAAACCAAATTAATAACTTAAATATACATTGAAATCAATTCTATAGCCTATTTGTTAAATTTCATTACTGCATACACACATGTCACAAAACAACAAAGAGCGTAAGAGAATTTTGTGGTAAGAGCGTAAGACACCGCAATGCATACGTACGTTGTAACTCTTCTTCTTCCTTCTGTGCCAATCACCTGCTGTTGATAATTCCTTGATTTATTTTGATGCTATAATTTCTAAACCAAATTAATCACTTAAATATACATTAAAATCAAGTCTATATCCTATATAGGGGCGAATTCCGCTGACTTTGAATTTCAGATAGTAAATTTTATTACCGTTCTTTTACAATGGAAATGTTTTTTCCAATCGTAATATGTTAATAATCAACAATAAAAAAGCAAACATTTCCGTTGCAGGTATTTGTTTAAACAAATGTCATTGCTTGCATACACATATGTTACAATAGCATTCGGAACCAACAGAGCAACAGCATGCCTGCCACCCATATTGGGCGTTGGCCAATTTCCATGTAAATTTAATTATCGACTAACAATGAAACGAATTTACGATCGTCGTCGGTAGTACGTACCAATGTTAATGTCAAATGGCCGATAAACTTGATATTGAATAATATTTTAATTGGCGAGGCGGAATTAATGATAAATATGATGAATAAATGGTATAAACATTGTTTTTTGTGAGTAATTTTACACGTAATTGCCATAAAAAATGAAAACAATTTAAATAAAGTTGCAATGCGATAACACTCGGCAAAAGGTCGTTGTCATAAAATATGTTAGTGGTCGATTGACAAAAATGGGTAAAATTTTGTAAATATATATTTTTTAAAATAATAACAGATTTTTGGAAACAAAGTTTTTTTTATGAATATTTTTAAAAATCCGGGAGTATTATTTTATGAGGATATTTTTTATTGATATTTTTTAAAATCAGGGAGTATTTTTATATAAGGTAATTATTGTAAATAGCGAATATTTTTGTAATAATTATCATTTTTTGTAAATAGTGGACTATTTTTGTAAAAAGAACTCAAAATGTCACAATTTTGCGAAATTAAATGAAAAACATGGCGAAAACATAAAAAAGGTGAAATCATAGTTATCCCTTGGGCAATTCCCAAAAGAGGACGGATATGATCCATTTTCTGTACCAAAGATTCTAGACGAAATTCAAAGATCTCTATTAAATTTCAAACCTCTATCTTAAATATTGCGAAATATATCTCAAACTATAGAGGAGCCTTTGTATACAATCAAAACAATATAAAGGCCGCTTGGCCTCTAAGAACCCGAAAATTCTCTGGGGTTTTTATCTACAAAAGAGTTATTTGAAGTCTATTTAGAATCTTCCACACTTCCATGTTTTCTATTGGACAGTAGAATTATAAGAAAATTTGAAGCGAATTTGAAAAAAAATGCTAAATTTTTCAGAAAACACAAAATTTTTATTAACAAAAATTTATGCTATTTTGTTATGGTAAGTATTGAATATAAACATTTCTTTTGTTCAGAGACTCATAATGAAATTTGATCTAGAATAATTCTTTCTTTGATACTTTCTATAAAAATTGAAATATAAGGGGAGATTTTGCCATGGGTTTGATACGTGTTTAATTAACAGTAAAACAAGCAAATAAATAATTTTTCACTCTTACGACATACATTTAAAATGTAATTTCCTTAAAAACGGTTGATCCTAGATATATGGTTTCTTCTGGGATTTATAATAAAATTTTGCCTAGAACATTTTCTCTTTTGACACCTTCCCCAAAAATTGAAGTATAAAGGGATATTTTGACTTTGGATTGAAAAGTCTTAAATTGAAGTAAAATAAGCAAACCCATAATTTTCACTTTTGCGACATAAATTTCGAATGTAATTTTCTCAAAAACTATTGAACCTAGACATATGGTTTATTCTGAGATTTATAACAAAATTTTGCCCAAGACATTTTCTCTTTTGACACCTTCCCCAAAAATTGAAGTATAAAGGAAGATTTTGACTTTGGATTGAAAAGTTTTAAATTGAAATAAAATAAGCAAATCCATAATTTTCACTTTTACGGCATACATTTCTAATGTAATTTTTTCAAAAACTATTGAACCTAGATATATGGTTTATTCTGAGATTTATGATAAAATTTTGTCTAGAATATTTCCTCTTCTGACACTTTTCCCAAAAAGTTAAGTGCTGAGGGAGATTTTGACTTGCAGTGAAACGACTTAAATTAACAGTAAAACAAGGAAACCCATAATTTATACATGCAGTACATAAATTTCGAATGTAATTTTCAAAACAACTATTGTACCTAGGCACATAGTTTGTTCTGAAATTTATAGTGAAATATTGTGTAGAATATTTCTTCTTTTGATACCTTCCGCCTAAAACGAGATTTTATGCTACTTTCAGGCCTAAACTCGAAAAAAAGTCCAAGGGGAAATTTACCAAAGAATTGGGGAAAATTGTCGGTTTTTTTTGGAACATTGATGCAAATATTTTGTGGATATGCAATAAAAATAGAGATTCCCTTTCTTTCGATATTCGCAATGAAATTCGATCTAGAATAACCCTTTCCTTGACACTTTTCCCACAAAATGAAGTATAAGATAAGATTTTGAATCGGATTGGAAACGTGTCAAGTTATTAGTAAAACAAGCAAATACATTATTTTTAAATGTGGTACATAAATTTAGAATGTAATTTCCATAAAAACTGTTGTACTTAGGCACATAGTTTGTTCTGAGATTTATAGCGAAATATGGTGTAGAATATTTCTTCTTTTGATACCTTCTGCGTAAATCGAAAGTTTATGATACTTTCAGGTCTCAACTCGAAAAAAGTCCAAGGGGAATTCATCAAAGAATTAGGGAACATTTTCGTTTTTTTGGGAATATTGATCCAAATATTTTTTGGATATAGAATGGAAAAAGAGATTTCTTTTCTTTAGATACTCACAATGAAATTTGATCTAGAATAATTCTTCCTTTGACACTTTTCCCAAAAAATTAAGTATAAAGGTGAGATTTTGAATCGGACTA